TTGTTTTCTTATATAAGCAATTCTAATATTTATATATTTTCAGCAACGGCTTTCGTTAATTCTTCGACGTGATTCACGTCATCGTTTTCAAATTTATGGAAATGAATGTCTTCGTACAACGGAAGTTGCAGCAATGTTTTTATTACTTTGGGCAGGAGAAAGTCTGTTGTGTTATCTTTTTTTAGTCTTTTACTATGAACTCCCTTCGGGTTCGCAGTGCTGACAGTTCAATGGTGTCATTTTGTGTTTATTTGCATTAGTATTAAAACAGGTAGTATCAAAATAAATACCGCATATGGCGCTGTGTTTCGTCGGAATCCAGGTTCCATCGCTACGAACTACTTCTACCCACTTTCTTTTCCGAGAAGGGTCACTAGGAAATCTGAACATTCGTGTAATTTATGTGTTTAAATATTTAAGTTACTTACTTACTTTTACTTATCTTCACGCACAATCCCTAACGGGGTAGCCAGAGAGAACAGATCGCCAAGTGTCACGATCCTTACATACCTCTTTCGCTTCCTTCAGGTTCATTAACTTCTTCATACATGCACGTCTAGGTATCCGAGTACTCTTGACCCTCCCCTCTTCGAGCAATTTGCTCACATGGTCTTCGAAAGTTAGTCTCGGTCTACCTCGACGACTTTTAATATTTACTTTCGCTCTATATATTTTCTTCACCATTCGGTCTTCACTCATTCGTTCAACGTGCCCAAACCATTGGAGTACGCCCCTATCAATTTTTGTGATAAAGTCATCTTTCAATCCTGCCATATTGCGAATCTCTTCGTTTCGCTTTCGGTCGGCTAAGGTAACGCCACACATTTTACGAAGAGATCGCATCTCTACTGCATTCAACTTGCTTTTATGCTTCTTCTGGCATACCCAGGTTTCGCTGCCATATAACAAAGTCGGTACCAACACTGCATTATGTATTGCAAGGCGTGCACTCTTCACCACGCCTTGCCTTTTTACTAATGCATTCAGGGCACCATTGACTTTGTTTCCGGCAGCGACACGCCTATCCACATCTAAATCACATCTTCCATCCCGGCTGAAAGCACTCCCCAAGTATACAATTTCATTTACCTGTTCTAGACATTCCTGATTTACCCATATTTCACATTTCGTTCTCTCTTCGTCCTTTAAATACCAGAACCTTAGTTTTATTAGCATTCAAACGGAGACCTTTAATTTCACATTCCTCTTTCATACACGTGACTAATGCCTGCAGTTCTGCTTCTGATGGTGCAATAAGCACTGCATCATCAGCATACAGCAGACAATTAACTTTTATGTCACCCAATTTCACACCCAAACAGCTATTTTTCAGCTTCTGTCGAGATACAGTATGAACAGCCAGGAAGACATGACACAACCCTGTTTTACGCCCGCTTGGACGCTAAACATGGGTGACAGGTCATGCCCTACCCGCACACAGGCTTTACAGTCATAGTAAAGTGACTGCACAGCCCTTAAAAATCTACCATCCACACCATATCCCGGCAACAGTTCCCACATTTTCTTCCTTATAACCTTATCAAATTCTTTCTCCAGATCCACAAAAGCACAGAAAATCTTCTGGTTAACACTCAGAAGCTTCTCCGTGATCATGCAGAGAGAAAACATTTGATCCGTGCATCCTCTTCCAGGTCTAAATCCGCATTGTGCCTCCCAAAATAATTTTTCCGATTTCTCTTGCATCCTACGTGTCAAAACCTTCGAGTAAACTTTACTTGCTAAACTGGTCAAGCTGATCGCCCGATAGCACCCGCAGTCAAAATGTAAACCTTTACCTTTATATAAAGGCACAATGACCGCGGATCGCCAATCATCCGGGACATCTCCCGTCCGCCAGCACAAATTGCACAGCAGATGGAAGCTGTCCCAGACGCGAGGCCCACCGTACTTGACCATTTCTGCAGTAACTCTGTCTAGTACCGCAGCCTTACCACATTTCAAACTTCGAATCGCACGTTCAATCTCTTTCATGCTGATGACCTCAGTGTCATCGAGGTCCGTGTCTGGCGTGCCAGTCACGGCGTCACCCCCGGATCCTTCACTAAGATCATGACACGCATACATTTCTCTATAAAATTCACTCCATCGCTGCATGACGTCCGATTTTTCTGAGGACGTCATTGGTTCTCGAAAGCACTTTGTTCATTCTTAAGGCTGTCGCACCACTCCGGGACCTTCCAACCTCTTTCCAGAAGAGTTTGGAGTTTTCCCTAAAGTTGTGCGACAACTTCTCATCCGCTTCTATTCTACACCTTTCACGTACTTCCTCAATCAATGTTTTCGCATGAACTTTCTGCAGCTTATATCTTTCTTTCATCTTCTCTCTCATGTGCTCATCGTTACTAGAGGCCAAGTAGTCTAACCATGTTTTTTTTCTTCTTTTTTACAGCTTCTCTCACTTCATCATTCCACCATGCATCTCTTCTTTTACTACTACCTCTTTTTGTCGTACCACATACTTCTTCCGCTGCACTTACCATTCCATCCCTAAGGTTCTGCCATGTTCTCTCCACACATTCTTTCCTGCCATCGATGTTGTCAAGCTTTTCGGCTACCCTCGTGTGATATTTGTCCCTAGTATCCGCTTCCTGAAGCTTCCAGCTTCGGATGCGACAGACCGACTGTGGTTCTGTTACTGCCGTCCGGTAGCGCCAACCCGCGAACAAACCCCTAAATCTAGTAATTACTAGATAATGATCCATTCCCAGGTCAGCACCCCTGAACACTCGTGTATCCATCACCTGTTTTCGCAGTCGGTCATCCACCAGGAACAAATCAATCATACTTCTCTCATTCTTTCTTTCTCTAGTGTACATATGGATTTTCCTGTGATTAAACATAGTGTTTGTCACAAGAAGACCCTTCTCCTTGCATACAGCCAGTATAAGCTTGCCAGCATCATTAACCCCTTTATCGCCAAACTTTCCAAGCACCGACTCGTATCCTGGTCGAGCGATACCTACCCATCCATTCAAATCACCACATACAACAGTTCTTTCGTTTCCCTTAACCAAATCTAGAACTTCTCTTACATTCTCCCAAAACTCCTCCAGCTCAGCCCTGGACGACGAAGCTACCGGCGCATAAACAGCCAAAAGGAATAACTTCGTCAGTCCCATTTTGAAGCGAACCCAGAGAAGTCTTGAGTTCACAACCTTGTATTCAGTCATAAGATCGACCAACCGGGACGACAACAGCACTCCCGCTCCCTGGCAGGCGTTCTCGCTTTCCGGGACTCCGGATCATATAGCTAACGTCCCGCCAGGGAGCTCTTCAGTACCACTGCCTTTCCGTTTGGTCTCCGACATACACACGACATCTAATTCTCTTTCTTTCATTATTTCGATCAACTCATTCGTCTTATCTCTTATGCCCCCTCTAACATTCCACGTGCCAACTCTGCACTCCGTCCTCCACCTTCCGCCGTGTCGGGCTGTGCGTGACGGGTGGCGGTCCCCATCGCCGCTTTGCGCGCTGCATTCCACACCAACGGGGACGAGCTGGTGTGCGTCGCCTTGGGGGGGACGCCCTAACCCTCGTTTGCATGGGTGCGCAGCTGTGTAGAATTGCAGGCCTGAAAAGGGCTGGAAGGGGTCGCGACGAGCACGCTTCTACAATGACCCCCATTTTATATATAATATTTTAAGTACAGATACTAATTATAATTTTTGCATTTATAATATTTTTATTTAATTATAAAAATTACTATTATAAATTTAATGAAATCAGATTGTAGGATACTGTTATATAAGTATTTTTAAGTGATATTGTATTGTACAAATAACATCATCATTCATTCGGTCATATCGTCAAATATCGATATATTTTTCGACATGGTCAAGCACTAGTCGATGTCAAATTGATTCACTCCACAGTTTTAGTCATTCCCTCTAAATGGTATAACACAGCCATTTTGTGATGGTTGTCAGATGTCAACAATACACAGAAATATCGACTATATATAACATAGTTGAATAATACAAAATTATATTTTACATTTGATTAAATTTTGTAATAAATAACAATAAATCTAATAAAATAATGTACTTACAAGTGAAAAGAAATAGTGCTGCTTCCGCCGCTATTTGTTTTACACAATTTAACTGAACCATTAGTTATTTTTGGGAGATGTTTTGTTGACAAGTAAGTGCTTGAGACTGACGCAAAAACAAACGACCAAGGCTAAAATTTCCTGGTTACTGACAAGACCGGTATAGGTAAGTCCGCTTATATGTCGGGTCCAGTGGTTAATTCGTTCAAGATACAAAGGTACTCTGTGGCGAAAATGAGCGTAGTTTGATGCATGTGCATGTGTGAACGCGTGTGCTTACATAAAAGAGCGGAGTTTTTTTGGCTGCACCAATAACAAAGGCCGCGCTCTATCTACCTTTTTTTACTTCATCTGAGGTTTTAAAATTATATTTTAAATGTAAGCTTGGAGTTGAAAGTGATAACTGATAACTAATGGTCAGTTATGGTTATTCTAAAACTACTTTCCGAATAATTTTATGTAGAAGTTTTAATATATTAGGTATGTAATGTAATATCATAAATTATTTTAACTTAAGTATTTTAGGTTGTAAGTTTAAGATAATAGACAATTATATTAATCATATTGTTTTATTTATGACATATTAATACAACTACCGACACACAGAAATGCAAATAGTTATCTTCAGAAGTTGCTTTAGTTTTATAAACACAGTTGCATGTTCTCAACCAATACGAGATATGTACATAAGATTTCTATATGAAAATTATCATAACTATTTATAGTATTTTACCTTAAGACGAGATTATCGAAATAGTAAAATGAATAGTAGTTTTAATAAATAATTTAATAATGAATATCTCTATCCATAATATTTATAATTTTCAGCTGTGTAGCGAGAAACATACACATGGGTACTTTGATACTAAATAATAATACAAATTAACAATCACAACAATACACAACTATCATTTTACACTTTTGAAAATCATTTTAATATTTGTAAAGGATGCTGTAATTCATCTAAAAGAATCATAATTCGATTATCTGGTGCGAAATTCGGTACTTCTGGAGTACCAGACACGGGAGTGTTTAAAGTTGATGGGCTTTGAAGTGGTACGACATTCGTTGCCACTGTCGTAACAGAGACAGGCGGTTGAGTAATTTTTATATTTGTAGCTGGATTAGTAACGGTGCCTTTAGCCGTCTCATGTCTTACAGGATCTTCTTCATCACTGTCTAAGCAGATTATATGAGGACCGACAGTCGTATTAGTGACGGTGGTGTCCTTAATAGGAACTTGTACATTTATGTGATCGATATGATGATAATCTAAGTAAACATCAGGATTTATAATCGTAGCTTCGTTGTTTGGTGTATTTGCTTTATTTTCTAAGGAGATTCTTGTTACGGGTGGTGTACGAGGTGTTGATATTGATGGAGTATCACTTACTACCTCGTTATTATGGGAAAAATTTTTCTGAGTGGAAGACTTTTCGCTTCCTAGCGGAGAAGGTTCGTTAATCAGGTAAACAGAATCTTCATCACTGACGAGGAAATGTTCATCATCGTCGGAAATAATGCATACAGCAGGTGCCATCGTTGATTGTTGGGAGGATGAATTTGTTGAACTTCCAATTCTAGAACATAAACAGAAATATTACACTTTATCTTAGCTCCACTTGTTATAATATTATTCATGTTCATTTTTAAGCAAAAATTATATTGATTAAAACTACTTTTACTAATTTTACCGCGTTTCGTTTTACTTGTAATTATTTTTATTTTTAACTCCCGACGTTTCCGTTTTCCTACATATAGCTGATGTGAAGCATCAAGCGTTCCGTGAAGTCTGCAGTTTGTGATCATATCCTAGATGGCCCCAACCATTACATCAGATTTGATAGACCACAAATCCTCGCGAAAGAACACCGATTCCTACCAAGGATGATACGTGAGGCTATTGAAATTAAAAAATATCCTAATTTCAATAGAGAAGGAGGCTGGGTACTACCACCAGCTTGGGACCCTATAATCAATAAAATTAAAACTAAACCCAAGCATACCACTGCAAAACCTCAGGACATAGTTCATTTTGCATAGATCGGACAATAAACAATAATTAAAAAAGCTGAAGGTACTCCGGGTTTGACAACGACATCGGGACGTCAGTCGCCTCAGTCCCCCGTGACCATGGGTGCTGGAAAGCACCCGAACCGTCGGGAATTAAAAATAAAAATAATTAACAGTAAAATTAAACGCGATAAAATCCGTAAAAGTAGTTTTAATCAATGTGTAGTGTTCGCGTAAATATAAGAAATCATTATAAAAATTATATTGAAAAAATATGTAGAAATTTATCAAAAGAATTTTACATTGCTTCTACTAGTAAAGTACTGATTTGGGTTAATGAATGTTGTATTGCTCGCATAGACATAAATCTACATTTCATCAAAAATAAATCATTCCGTATGACTTATATTTTCATTATCACATTAAATTTACATTTTACTTTAAGCACATATATGTACACTATTTAATTAAAAACTCTCAGTTACCATTAAATCTTAGAAAGTAAAAAGTTGATAAACAAAGTAAAAAGGATAAAAAAAAGTTATTATATATCGTCGATAAATATAATATTTCATTCAAAAATAGTGAATAATACAACTAGGCTTGCTAAGTAAGTGTTTTTGAAGATCATACAAATAATGTATGTAGCGCATATCGCTACGTGGAAATGCGTCAATGCGTTAATATATTTGTTGGGACTTAATAACTTAACCAGTTCCGTCATTTTAATAGCATGATAGAAGGGCCTTACTTGTGATTGTGAACAATAATTGAATATAATCATTATGTTCTACCTACCGTCAATATTGTAATAAAATAAGGTGACATACTGTGATGTAACACTTTAACAGCGCGTCATGGATTATTTTTATTGTAACAAACTAAAAGTATGGGCAAATAATAAGTTTCCCTTTAATTGCTAAAAAGATTTTTAAATTGTTTTAACAATATAAATACATTACTTATTTTCTTTGTAAATTTGTCTAAACTTTGTTACAACAAAAAATTAAATTAAATATGAATGTTACATATTGATTATCAAAATATGCCAAGTAATAGATTCAAATTAAAAGAGTCGTAACAAATTTTTATTTTGAATCAATTAAAAAATGTTGCCCATACCATAGTTATGGTTTATGGAACTTGTTCCGAACTTGGCATCTCGACTCTTTTATTGGCGGTTCTGACAAATCTAATAGTTGTATGTTCTTGTCATTAGACGAATTATTGGCACCAAGAGGCGAACAAGATCGCTAATGATCGAGAAAACATCCAGATTATAAATTCTGACCAGTTTTAAATTGTATATTTCTTGAAGGATTTTTTTAAAACTTTGCCAATAACAAATGTTCACATTTTTGCTACTTACAGTTCAACGGGGACTGCTTCTGGAATAGAAGTTTGAAGCTTTGGTGGACTTGAAGAAGTCGAAGATTTTTTTTTATCTTCTGCTGGCGGATATTGTGCCATTTTCTGTATTTTTTTCTTTTCAGGTTTTGGTGACAAGAGCTTGATTTTCGTGCTTTCTCATTTTTTCTACTAGTATCAGTTTTAAATTCTGCACAACTTGTGGAATCGTCAGAAATCATTACCAAGTCATCAGAGTCCGAAGTTTTTTTTCTTTCCTCTATTTGCTGTAATTCATCTAAAAGAATCTCAATTCGATTATCTGGTGCGAAATTCGGTACTTCTGGAGTACCAGACACGGGAGTGTTTAAAGTTGATGGGCTTTGAAGTGGTACGACATTCGATGCCATTGTCGTAACAGAGACAGGCAGTTGAGTAATTTTTATATTTGTAGCTGGATTAGTAACGGTGCCTTTAGCCGTCTCATGTCTTACAGGATCTTCTTCATCACTGTCTAAGCAGATTATATGAGGACCGACAGTCGTATTAGTGACGGTGGTGTCCTTAATAGGAACTTGTTCATTTATGTGATCGATATATGATAATCTAAGTAAACATCAGGATTTATAATCGTAGCTTCGTTGTTTGGTGTATTTGCTTTATTTTCTAAGGAGATTCTTGTTACGGGTGGTGTACGAGGTGTTGATATTGATGGAGTATCACTTACTACCTCGTTATTATGGGAAAAATTTTTCTGAGTGGAAGACTTTTCGCTTCCTAGCGGAAAAGGTTCGTTAGTCAGGTAAACAGAATCTTCATCACTGACGAGGAAATGTTCATCATCGTCGGAAATAATGCATACAGCAGGTGCCATCGTTGATTGTTGGGAGGATGAATTTGTTGAACTTCCAATTCTAGAACATAAACAGAAATATTACACTTTATCTTAGCTCCACTTGTTATAATATTATTCATGTTCATTTTTAAGCAAAAATTATATTGATTAAAACTACTTTTACGAATTTTATCGCGTTTCGTTTTACTTCTAATTATTTTTATTTTTAACTCCCGACGTTTCCGTTTTCCTACATATAGCTGATGTGAAGCATCAACGTTCCGTGAAGTCTGCAGTTTGTGATCATATCCTAGATGGCCCCAACCATTACATCAGATTTGATAGACCACAAATCCTCGCGAAAGAACACCGATTCCTACCAAGGATGATACGTGAGGCTATTGAAATTAAAAAATATCCTAATTTCAATAGAGAAGGAGGCTGGGTACTACCACCAGCTTGGGACCCCATAATCAATAAAATTAAAACTAAACCCAAGCATACCACTGCAAAACCTCAGGACATAGTTCATTTTTGCATAGATCGGACCATAAACAATAATTAAAAAAGCTGAAGGTACTCCGGGTTTGACAACGACATCGGGACGTCAGTCGCCTCAGTCCCCCGTGACCATGGGTGCTGGAAAGCACCCGAACCGTCGGGAATTAAAAATAAAAATAATTAACAGTAAAATTAAACGCGATAAAATCCGTAAAAGTAGTTTTAATCAATGTGTAGTGTTCGCGTAAATATAAGAAATCATTATAAAAATTATATTGAAAAAATATGTAGAAATTTATCAAAAGAATTTTACATTGCTTCTACTAGTAAAGTACTGATTTGGGTTAATGAATGTTGTATTGCTCGCATAGACATAAATCTACATTTCATCAAAAATAAATCATTCCGTATGACTTATATTTTCATTATCACATTAAATTTACATTTTACTTTAAGCACATATATGTACACTATTTAATTAAAAACTCTCAGTTACCATTAAATCTTAGAAAGTAAAAAGTTGATAAACAAAGTAAAAAGGATAAAAAAAAGTTATTATATATCGTCGATAAATATAATATTTCATTCATAAATAGTGAATAATACAACTAGGCTTGCTAAGTAAGTGTTTTTGAAGATCATACAAATAATGTATGTAGCGCATATCGCTACGTGGAAATGCGTCAATGCGTTAATATATTTGTTGGGACTTAATAACTTAACCAGTTCCGTCATTTTAATAGCATGATAGAAGGGCCTTACTTGTGATTGTGAACAATAATTGAATATAATCATTATGTTCTACCTACCGTCAATATTGTAATAAAATAAGGTGACATACTGTGATGTAACACTTTAACAACGCGTCATGGATTATTTTTAATGTAACAAACTAAAAGTATGGGCAAATAATAAGTTTCCCTTTAATTGCTAAAAAGATTTTTAAATTGTTTTAACAATATAAATACATTACTTATTTTCTTTGTAAATTTGTCTAAACTTTGTTACAACAAAAAATTAAATTAAATATGAATGTTACATATTGATTATCAAAATATGCCAAGTAATAGATTCAAATTAAAAGAGTCGTAACAAATTTTTATTTTGAATCAATTAAAAAATGTTGCCCATACCATAGTTATGGTTTATGGAACTTGTTCCGAACTTGGCATCTCGACTCTTTTATTGGCGGTTCTGACAAATCTAATAGTTGTATGTTCTTGTCATTAGACGAATTATTGGCACCAAGAGGCGAACAAGATCGCTAATGATCGAGAAAACATCCAGATTATAAATTCTGACCAGTTTTAAATTGTATATTTCTTGAAGGATTTTTTTAAAACTTTGCCAATAACAAATGTTCACATTTTTGCTACTTACAGTTCAACGGGGACTCCTTCTGGAATAGAAGTTTGAAGCTTTGGTGGACTTGAAGAAGTCGAAGATTTTTTTTATCTTCTGCTGGCGGATATTGTGCCATTTTTTGTATTTTTTTCTTTACAGGTTTTGGTGACAAGAGCTTGATTTTCGTGCCTTTCTCATTTTTTCTACTAGTATCAGTTTTAAATTCTGCACAACTTGTGGAATCGTCAGAAATCATTACCAAGTCATCAGAGTCCGAAGTTTTTTTTCTTTCCTCTATTTGCTGTAATTCATCTAAAAGAATCTCAATTCGATTATCTGGTGCGAAATTCGGTACTTCTGGAGTACCAGACACGGGAGTGTTTAAAGTTGATGGGCTTTGAAGTGGTACGACATTCGATGCCATTGTCGTAACAGAGACAGGCAGTTGAGTAATTTTTATATTTGTAGCTGGATTAGTAACGGTGCCTTTAGCCGTCTCATGTCTTACAGGATCTTCTTCATCACTGTCTAAGCAGATTATATGAGGACCGACAGTCGTATTAGTGACGGTAGTGTCCTTAATAGGAACTTGTTCATTTATGTGATCGATATGATAATCTAAGTAAACATCAGGATTTATAATCGTAGCTTCGTTGTTTGGTGTATTTGCTTTATTTTCTAAGGAGATTCTTGTTACGGGTGGTGTACGAGGTGTTGATATTGATGGAGTATCACTTACTACCTCGTTATTATGGGAAAAATTTTTCTGAGTGGAAGACTTTTCGCTTCCTAGCGGAGAAGGTTCGTTAATCAGGTAAACAGAATCTTCATCACTGACGAGGAAATGTTCATCATCGTCGGAAATAATGCATACAGCAGGTGCCATCGTTGATTGTTGGGAGGATGAATTTGTTGAACTTCCAATTCTAGAACATAAACAGAAATATTACACTTTATCTTAGCTCCACTTGTTATAATATTATTCATGTTCATTTTTAAGCAAAAATTATATTGATTAAAACGACTTTTACGAATTTTACCGCGTTTCGTTTTACTTCTAATTATTTTTATTTTTAACTCCCGACGTTTCCGTTTTCCTACATATAGCTGATGTGAAGCATCAACGTTCCGTGAAGTCTGCAGTTTGTGATCATATCCTAGATGGCCCCAACCATTACATCAGATTTGATAGACCATAAATCCTCGCGAAAGAACACCGATTCCTACCAAGGATGATACGTGAGGCTATTGAAATTAAAAAAATATCCTAATTTCAATAGAGAAGGAGGCTGGGTACTACCACCTGCTTGGGACCCTATAATCAATAAAATTAAAACTAAACCCAAGCATACCACTGCAAAACCTCAGGACATAGTTCATTTTGCATAGATCGGACAATAAACAATAATTAAAAAAACTGAAGGTACTCCGGGTTTGACAACGACATCGGGACGTCAGTCGCCTCAGTCCCCCGTGACCATGGGTGCTGGAAAGCACCCGAACCGTCGGGAATTAAAAATAAAAATAATTAACAGTAAAATTAAACGCGATAAAATCCGTAAAAGTAGTTTTAATCAATGTGTAGTGTTCGCGTAAATATAAGAAATCATTATAAAAATTATATTGAAAAAATATGTAGAAATTTATCAAAAGAATTTTACATTGCTTCTACTAGTAAAGTACTGATTTGGGTTAATGAATGTTGTATTGCTCGCATAGACATAAATCTACATTTCATCAAAAATAAATCATTCCGTATGACTTATATTTTCATTATCACATTAAATTTACATTTTACTTTAAGCACATATATGTACACTATTTAATTAAAAACTCTCAGTTACCATTAAATCTTAGAAAGTAAAAAGTTGATAAACAAAGTAAAAAGGATAAAAAAAAGTTATTATATATCGTCGATAAATATAATATTTCATTCATAAATAGTGAATAATACAACTAGGCTTGCTAAGTAAGTGTTTTTGAAGATCATACAAATAATGTATGTAGCGCATATCGCTACGTGGAAATGCGTCAATGCGTTAATATATTTGTTGGGACTTAATAACTTAACCAGTTCCGTCATTTTAATAGCATGATAGAAGGGCCTTACTTGTGATTGTGAACAATAATTGAATATAATCATTATGTTCTACCTACCGTCAATATTGTAATAAAATAAGGTGACATACTGTGATGTAACACTTTAACAACGCGTCATGGATTATTTTTAATGTAACAAACTAAAATTATGGGCAAATAATAAGTTTCCCTTTAATTGCTAAAAAGATTTTTAAATTTTTTTAAAATATAAAAACATTACTTATTTTCTTTGTAAATTTGTCTAAACTTTGTTACAACAAAAAATTAAATTAAATATGAATGTTACATATTGATTATCAAAATATGCCAAGTAATAGATTCAAATTAAAAGAGTCGTAACAAATTTTTATTTTGAATCAATTAAAAAATGTTGCCCATACCATAGTTATGGTTTATGGAACTTGTTCCGAACTTGGCATCTCGACTCTTTTATTGGCGGTTCTGACAAATCTAATAGTTGTATGTTCTTGTCATTAGACGAATTATTGGCACCAAGAGGCGAACAAGATCGCTAATGATCGAGAAAACATCCAGATTATAAATTCTGACCAGTTTTAAATTGTATATTTCTTGAAGGATTTTTTTAAAACTTTGCCAATAACAAATGTTCACATTTTTGCTACTTACAGTTCAACGGGGACTGCTTCTGGAATAGAAGTTTGAAGCTTTGGTGGACTTGAAGAAGTCGAAGATTTTTTTTTATCTTCTGCTGGCGGATATTGTGCCATTTTCTGTATTTTTTTCTTTTCAGGTTTTGGTGACAAGAGCTTGATTTTCGTGCTTTCTCATTTTTTCTACTAGTATCAGTTTTAAATTCTGCACAACTTGTGGAATCGTCAGAAATCATTACCAAGTCATCAGAGTCCGAAGATTTTTTTCTTTCCTCTATTAGCTTTGCACTTACACTTTTTTCAATTGTTTCCGATTTATTTTCATATTTTGGCGACTGATAATCCTTTGAATATTTATTACCTTTTACTTTTCTGGATTTTAGATCAACCTTTGATTGATTTACTATTAATAAATAACACCGCTAAAGAACCCCTTCGTCGTATCTTCTCAGTTTCAAGGCACTCCGCTTGTTGCCTCAGCCAATGGGGAGGCATTGGCCGTTAGTTTGGACATAGCGAAGGCCTTCGATCGGGTTTGGCACAAAGCGCTTCTTACGAAGCTTCCTTCCTATGCGCTTCCCAAAAAATTGTGCAATTGGATCACCAGTTTTCTTGCTGATCGAAGCATCAAGGTCGTTGTAGACGGTGCGTGCTCCGATTGCAAGCCAATTAATGTTGGTGTTCGACAAGGCTGTGTGCTATCACCAACGCTGTTCCTTCTGTATATCAATAACATGTTGTAAATCGGTAGCATTCAATGCTACGCAGACGACAGCACTGGTGAATCTTTATACACCAGCCGTGCCAATATTTCTCGGGAAAACGTTGCCGAGTACCGGGACAAACTTGTGTCTGAATTCGAGACTTTTTTGAACAAAATCTCGGTTTGGGGGCGAATAAATCTAGTCCAGTTTAATCCCCAGAAGACAAGATTTTGCGCGTTTACCGCTAAAAAGAACCCCTTTGTCGTATCTCCTCAGTTTCAAGGCACTCCCCTTGTTGCCTCATCCAGTATCGGAATCCTCGGCGTCGACATATCGAGTGACGTACAGTTTAGTGGTCACTTAGAAGAGAAGGCCATATTGGCGTCTAAAAGGCTTGGCGTGCTCAGCAGAGCGGAACAATATTTCATTCCGGCTCACCGCCTGCAACTTTGCAAGGCGCAGGTTCGGCCGCACATGGGCTGAGGCTCTCCAGTGCCAGCTCCTCCATTCGATCACATCAGGTACAGAGCTGTTCGAATATCGTCGGCGACCGAGCTCTTTCCGATCAGCTTGACTCACTGGCACAGCGAAGAGATGTTGCATCTCTTTGCGTATTTTATCGCATCTATCACGGGGAGTGCTCTGAAGAATTGTTCGGACTAATTCCAGCTGCACAATTTCACCATGGCACATCGCGATACCATCCATACCATCTGGATGAATGGCATTTAACCACCGTGCGATTTAAAAGAAGTTTTTTTCCTCGCATAACTTCCATGTGGAGTCGACTTAGGGACCTTCAAGAAAAGAGCCTACTCCTTTTTTAAAAAGCCGACAACGCATCTGCAATGCCCCTGGTGTGGCAGTAGTTCACGGGCGGCGGTAATCACTTACTATCAGGTGAGCTGTATGCTCGTTTGCCACCTCTTCTATAAAATAACTTCAAAAATCTATTGACGACACTTGTCTACCTGAATCTGGTAACGCAAAATCTGTTTTTGGGCACACAATAACGTTTTCAAGAATAATTAATAATTGTTTGGTTCTTGTTAAGAAAAAAATATGAATATTTTTTACTGCACTGTGTCAGTCTGTTATACCGGGTGGCCCGTAAGTCCTTTGAAATGTAAAAAAAATAATTAAAAAAAAAAACTAATGACATTATGAAAAAGGTTTTTATTTTGTCATAATCCTTATAAAATGGGAATTATTTTTTCAAAAGTACATCATCTAAATGTAATCCGTTACGATCGCGGCACTCCTGTAAGCGACGTTTAAAATTATCCATCACTGCGCGGCAAGTAAGCTCTGTAATGTTTGCCATTTCTCTTTGGATATTTTCTTTCAGGACGTCAATTGTCCGCGGGTTGGTTTCGTACACTTTAGTCTTAAGATAACCCCATAAGAAATAGTCCATTGCGGTCAGATCTGGACTACGTGGTGGCCAAGGAATATCTCCTCTTCGAGAGATCACTTTATTAGGGAAAAGTTGACGGACGACCGGCATAGCGACGTCTTGTTGAAACCAGGTCCGCGTATTGAAGCCTGGAAAATTCTGCAACTCTGGTGTAAAAAAGTCCTGGATCATAGCTACATACCGTTGTGAAGTAACAGTAAGCGCGCGGCCTCTGCCGTCCTCAAAAAAGTAAGGGCCTATAATGCCATGCGCTGACATAGCCGCCCAAACTGTCACTTTAGGGATATGTAAGGGCTTTTGATGTTTGCGATTTGGATTTTCGCAACTCCAGTAGCGACAATTTTGCTTATTGACATGGCCGTTGATGTGAAAGTGAGCCTCATCAGAGAATAACACGTTATTAAACGAAGTAAAGCGGTTCAACATTTCATTTGAAATTGAGTCTGTGGATAGTGTCAGTATCTTTTAATTCCTGTACTATCTGAATCTTGTACGGGTGAAGATGTAAATCTTTCTTTAAAATTCGCTGTAACGATGTTCTGGGTAAGTTTAATACACTGGAACGCTTACGAGTAGACTGGGTAGGATTTTCACGAATTGAGTGTTTCACTACATCGATGTTTTCTTCCGTCCGTGATGTCCTTGGTCGACCTGACCGTTGTTTATCCAACGTCGAACCACTCTCTTCGAACTTAATAACCCAGTTCTTAATCGTTTGAACACTTGGAATGTCTTTAAAGTTGCGTAAATTCTGATATTCTCGAAATTTACGCCGCGCAATGGTAGCCGAATCATTGTTTCGATAAAACTCGCGCACACAAAATGCACGGTCCGCACCGGTGAAACGCTCCATGGCGACTGAATTCCCAGAACCGTCGGTACTCCCCTCGCACCGCGCGCGCCACTCATGCGCGCCTTTTGTATTTTATTCGAAATTTACATTTCTAACGACTTATGGGCCACCTTGTACAATTTTAGAATCTTGATTACTGGTGCTAACTTTTTATAACATGTTGCCATAGTAGTGTTGATACATTTTTTACCGTGACAAGTGAAAGTAGATAAAAAGTTAAATTTTTCTAAAATTGCAAGAAAATAATGAACCTAATTTTATGTATTTCTTAAGACTTCCGATACTTTAGTTTTAATTTGGAACTGGGATGAATGCTACTATGCTGCTCAAGTTATTAATACAAACAAATAACAGTAATATTGCAAGTTTTTAGTCATAGTACCTCGGTATATTGTATAGCGTAGCAATTTTTTAAGTATTTTAGAAAAGTTGTTCTCGCATAACGTTGATTGTTGTGACACTTGGCATGTTAAAAATATCCCGCTAGGTTTATTGCTAGTTCTTTTAAAGGCAGAATTTTTATACTTTGAGAAATATACTCAGTTTTGTTTATTCATTTAAAATCTAAATAGAGTATAACTGATATTTTAAAAAGGAATATTTACCCTTACATTTTCCGAACAAATTAACTTCCCTGCCATGAAATATGTCTAATAAGTCACCTTAATCTTAAGTGGCGTCGCATGAAAGTAAAGTCGTGATTGCCCTCATTATATACACCGGCAAGCTTAAAAAGAAGTTTAGCTTCGCCTACAAGTCCTTCAAAAGAAGTTTAGCTTCGCCTACGAGTCCTTCAAAAGAAGTTTAGCTTCGCCTACAAGTCCTTCGCAAGAAGTTTAGCTTCGCCTACAAGTCCTTCAAAAGAAGTTTAGCTTCGCCTACAAGTCCTTCAAAAGAGTTATTGCCAGTGCAAAGTATGAGCACATTGGCAGAGTTTTCGAGAAAATATTTTGCCTTCCTTCGGGAACCCGTGCATTCTGGTTCCTTCCTATTGGCTTCCCGAGAAATTGTGCAATCAGATCACCAGTTTTCTGTCTGATCGGAGCATCAAGGTCGTAGTAGACGGTGCGTGCTCCGATTGCAAGCCAATTAATGCTGGCGTTCCACAAGGCCGCGTGCTATCACCGACGCTGTTTCTTCTGCATATCAATGATATGTTGCAAACCAGTACCATTCATTGCTATGCGTTAGGTAGCATTTGTGATGGGTTATACACCGGCCGTGCCAATATTTATCGGGAAAATCTCACCGAGCACCAGAACAAACTTGTGTCTGAAGTCCAGAGATTGTTAAACAAAGTATCGGATTGGGGGCGACTAAATCTAGTCCAATTCAACCCCCAGAAGACACAAGTTTGCACGTTTACCGCTAAAAAGAACTCCTTTGTTTTAGCTCCTCAGTTTCAAGGCACTCCCCTTGTTGCCTCAGCTAGTATCGGCATCCTCGGCGTCGACATATCGAGTGACGTGCAGTTTCGTGGTCACTTGGAAGAGAAGCCGTAATTGGCCTCTAAAATGCTTGGCGTGCTCAGCAGAGCGGGACAGTATTTCATGCCGGCACACCGCCTGCAACTTTACAAGGCGCAGGTTCAGCCACGCATGGAATACTGTTTCTATCTCTGGGCCGGGGCTCCCCAGTGCCAGCTCCTTCCATTTGACCGTATCCAGCGCAGAGCGGTTCGAATCTTCAACGACCGAGTCCTTATCGATCAGCTCGATACACTGGCGCTGCGAAGAGGTGTTGCATCTCTTTGCGTTTTCTATTGCGTCTACCACGGGGAGTGCTCTGAGTAATTGTTCGTATTAATCTCAGCCGCCAAATGTCATGAACACACATCGCGACAAAACTGACGATATCAACCACACCTGGACGTTTGGTGGTCCACCTCTGTACATTTTACTAAGAGTTTTCTTTCTCGTACTTCCCCTCTGTGGAATCGTGTACCACCGGCGATTTTTCGGGATAGATACGACTTTGGGATCTTCAAGAAAAGTGGATACTCCTTTCTAAAAGGTCGGCAACGCACCTGCTATTCCCCTGATGTTGATGTTGATTCTGGGGGGCGGTAGTCACTTTTCATCAGGTGAGCCGCTTGCTCCTTTGCCTGCTCTTCTATATTTTTTTTATTATGGCAGTTCGTCGTTACCATTGTAGCTAATCCTAGCAAGTCCTACTGCTGAACGTAGGCCTCCCTTATAGATAGCCTCATAGTGGTGATACCATAGTTCCACGCTTCACTGCCCATCACTGCTTTATTTTCCTCGGTCACCCATGAAATCGCTCACGCCCCTCCTACAAGGTTATTTACATTATAATTTAAATGCTAGACACGCACTTGTATAATTCCGTGAGTTCATCCTTGTTTAAATGGCGAACAATCTGTTGTTCGTCCACTACTGCCTGCTTCGTCACGGCACGCTCGTATATCGTCTGTTCCATTGTACCCTGGAAGTTAAGACGGTTACAAGCATGATGAAACGAAAACTGCAATTTCCACATGACATAATAAATAAAAAAACTTGGTTTGTAAAAACTCGGTTTAGGTACACCACACGAGATTATTTTATCGTTTCCTGGTTCCTGATTTTAAATATTACATACTTTAATTTGTATTAATGTCTAAATGCAAATGTTCTGATACTGCATATGGTACCTGCTGCTAGACAAACGAGGATGTGATGAATGAAAAATCATTTAAAAAATGTCATTTCTGGTGATAAAAATGTCATGTCTATGTTCCACGGACTGGTGACAAAAATACATCAACAGTGTGAAGGTCTCGGCTCTGCTACCACCCCTGTCTGTCCAGCGTTGCGAGTATGTGGGACTCTTTCAAATAACGTATAGTTTTAAAACGCACATTTATTTTTGGAAAATTTCAATGTTCACTAGTGTACATCCAAAAAACTGAAGTAGTCTTAGTGAAAATAAATTTATGTTGTCTGTTTTGTACTTACCAAAGCGACCAGCCTGTATATGTAGCAGGCCTTCTTCTGACCTAATCGGTAAACTCGAAAGATACTCTGTATGTCGTGTGCGGGGTTCCATGAAGTATCAAGAATAATGACATGGTTAGCTGCCGTCATGTTGAGCCCCAGCGAGCCAGCCGGAGTTGATATAAGGAATAATCTGAAAAGAAAATTGCGGAGAAGATGCAAAAATGATATACAGCTGTAAATCATGTTTGAGAAATTAAAACAAATTTCGATAAGCTTATCCCATAAAAAAAAAAGTGAAGGTGATGATATTTCATATTGTGAACAAGTTTGCACTTAATTTTGGTTAAGAAATTGTTTACGTGGTGGAAATCACTCAAAAGTTTTTTTATTATTCATTATTTTATAACTTAAGTTAGAATATTAATATAAAAATTGTGATTGGCATATAACCAATACTAACGCATTGACACTAGCTTTACCAGGTGGCACGACCCGTTTCCTACCTGGGTGACCGTACGTAGGCAACTCCTGGGCATTTGCCACCAAATAGCAGTGCGTGCACCGCCGTGCTCCGGTCTAGTGTATAGAGAGACAGTATAATTACAAACCGTGAGGCACCCCATCTTAGTCCTCAGAGTAACAACGCAGTTGTAGCCCTCATTTGAAATTGGCTGCAAGTGACCGTGCACTGCAGTAGCCACTGTATGGTGGGCTGTAAGTTTGTTTGTCAATTTAGATTTATAAAAAAGCGATGATAGAACCAGCTCCGTAAAAAGAGTTTATCGATCTGAATCTGTTCTTCTTAATTAACTCATCTAGTTAACCGGTTAATGAGCGATCCTATGTGTAGTTTTTTTATAGTATAAGGGTGACAAACGAGCACACAGTTCACCTGATGGTAAATGGTTGCTGTGGCCCATAGACATCTATTCCTGATTACGAATCAAAATGCAAATGCGTTATCACCCGTGAGGACTAAAATTAAATGCCTCGTTTCCAGTAAAATAGTTCGTAGTTAGATTATAGTTCATTTAAAAAACCAATTCAAGTGTTAGTTGAACACGTAATTTATGATTTTAAAAAATTGATTAGTGGTAAATAAGGGAAGGAACGAATCTCACTTGGTTATCTGGTTGCTGTCTGCATTGAAGTCGCGGCACCGTTTCTGGCGCACCTCGGCGGGCACGGAGCCGTCCAGCCGGTAATACTCGCGTCCTAAGCTCCAGTTCTTGGTGCGCCCCAGAAAATACTCAAGTGTGTCCATTGTGAACAGAGACGTCGAAAACAACAGCCTGAAATAAAAAAACAACATAATATGAATCTTCTTTTTTACTTCAAATATTAATTTCATTATATATTATTCAAACATTATATTATATATATCATTCATTTGGATATTTATTTACGAAGTTTATAAGCATGTATATATATTATATATATGTATGTATGTATTATTGTACGTATATTTATACTATATGTGTGTATATTTAAATGTAATGTGTATGTATGTAATTTGCATATATGTATATTTTAATGTATAAGCACTTATTTACGTATAATGGTCGCACCTGCCAACAATTGTCCTTGGCACCCAGGGTTGACTGGCAGAGAATGCCACATGGCATTAATTCCGCCCTATGTACCCTTTAGCTTAAGGTGTTACGTGTAAGTTTTTAAATAAAAAATAAAATAAAAATAAAAATATGACCCTTCCGAATGGCAAAAAGCTATAATATAGAAAAACTAACAATTAAAATTTAAATAGTCATAAAGGCCTGCTCCCCGTGGTATAGTGCCAAGAACGCTGGCTGCGTTTCCTCGCTGAATAGCTATACATAGCCTTTGAGCGAGGAAAGAACCAGCCCTCTTATCACTAGCAGCGACGACCAGCCGTGGATACAGTTCCTTTAGGAACATCACTGCACGTGGACCCCACGGACCGATAGTCTCTACAGCAAATGGCACAAATATGTAGTCATTTCTCAAAGACTCATATTTGCGCCATTTACTAAATTTGGCTGCCTCTGATGCCGCCCCGGCTCTAAAAGAGGTACCCTTGAGATGAGAGGCCGCCAAAGTGTCAACGCAAGTAGCATTCCACACTAGGGCTTTACCTCTCTCCCTCTCTTTAATTAGTATAGAATCGAATAATGTTTTATTAAATATTGAACACATGTAATTCTTATTGACAGGGTTTTTTTTTTATTTTACCAGCAGAGAACCTTTTATACAATATGAAGGACTGGCTGTACAATCTATTTACAAAATTTATTTTAGAAACAGCTTGGAAGCGACCACCTCATTCCCGGGGATTATTCTAAACCATGTATTTCATTTATAATTATGATAACGCTTTTTATACAGGTTTTGTTTAACAAAATATTTAAACTTGCTAATAGAAAGACCTTGTATATTTCCGGGTATTTGTTGTAATAGCGTATACATTGCCCCAAGAATAAGTTACTGACTCTGTGGAGATGTTATGCATCACATACGTTGTATCACTGGATTGTGTTTGTTCCTAGTGTTTACAGAATGTAAATCACGTTTTTTCTAAAACTACGCTTGTTTTCCTGAACTTACACGAAATTTTCGAAAATTTACTGAGAAGCCAAAGTTAATATATTTATTTCTCTAAATTGTTTCACTGACTCTCGCGGTTTCATGTTGTAAATAGCTCTTATGACCCTCTTCTGCAGTAGAAAAACAGTTTCTAAATCAGCTGCATTCCCATAGCAAAATTCCATGAGTAATGCTATGGAAATAACTCAAATAAACTAATCTAGCTGTCTCGACACTAGTGAGACCTCCATCTTTTTACAACACAAAGGACCCCATTGAAGCTTTGTGTCGAGAATGATGCCAAGAAAAACAGTGGATTCAACAGGGCTCAGTTCTTTCCCATTTAAAAACAAATCGGTATTCATTTTTTTTTTAATATTTGGTGTTATGAATACATTCATTTTTATTGCCGTTTAAATGTAGATTAAACCAATGCAATAATTTTAATTTATCGCGTTTAATTTTAAATTTTCAAAACGTCGGAAATTTAAAAAGTCATAATCAAATGCGATAACATCCGTAAAATTAGTTTCATTTAATTGATCGAAATTTTAAACTACATTTTGACATTGTAAAACATAATTATAATTTAAATAAAAATGTTTCATTTGTTAATTTTTAATACTATATAGGTTATCTTGATATAAATGTAATTTGCATGCTATATTATATTAAAATAGCAAAACATGTGGGCATAATAAAACTCTGAAACATCTGTATAATTACCATGTTTTATGCAAATAAAGACTATTATTATTATTTAAAAATTAAAAATACTTAATGGAAAGAACAAGATAGGTAAAGTTTTTTGATGAAAAATCGCTCACACTTTATCTCCCGAACAAGGCAGTCGTCGAGTATGCGGAAGACAGCAAGCAATTTGTTGGAGCTCTCCAACGAGTCAAGCAATTTGCCTCCTTCCAAGTACTGCAGCCACCACGCCTCAGTTTGCGCTGGCTTTATTTTCTCTGTGGCCGTCAGGTCTCCATTCGCCAGGTTATCGACTATCTTCTTCACTGTAATTATAATTCAAATCAGTACTATTTTTATAAATCAGCGACAAAATTTTTGTTGTCACATGTTAGGGGAATAACAGACTGGTCCCACGTACGCAACGTATGTGTGATGCAACGCTCCCAGATCCCACGTTAGTGTACTAGTACACAATTGGCCTATGTCACTCTTATCACTTCTTAGCGTACGTACGCACGAGTCCTCTAAGAAGTGGACTAATTTATATACCTACCATGTTTTCTGATTCAGAGTAAGTTTAAGAATGATTTACATAGTCTGATATTCTTATTCATAATCGAATATATTAACGCCTAAATAAAACGTTTAGGTTGTAATTCTGTTAAGATTTATGATTCATAATGCAAACAGATACATGAATATTTGCATAGAGTGTTTCATTTTCGCAATGCTATATAGTATCATGTTTCATATTTTAACACTAGGATAAAAATTAAAAATATAAACAAAATTTCCCATTATGACAACAAAATGCGTGCAAGGTGCAAAAGTCTATTTGTTTATAAAGTGTTACTTTTCAGTTTATACAAAGGTACTCTGTAGTGTTACTGTTACTGCTATGCCTACGCGAGTTCTAGAAACACAGAAGTCACAGAACACACTGTTCGTTCGCGCGCGTGTATTGTGTACGAACACCCCCTCCACCTCGCTACACCGCTCTGGATATTGCAGATCGACGTTGTGTCGGACGCGTGTGATTACGTTGCATGGCATATGATAAGTGTTTATAATGCATAGTATTTTCATATTATAGAATCAAAGGTTCAGATGTCATAATGCGTTGAATACATTGCGTATGTGGGATCAGTCTGTCTCCGACTATGTTATGCAATGACCAAGACCAGATCAAGTATCATGTTACGGTGGTTAAGTGACTCATAAGCTAGAACGATCTTATAGCTTCGGATAAATGTCGGTATAACCATCTCGTTTATGTAAAGGGGTGGTTCACGACAGAAGTCAAACCGCGGATTCAAGTTCAAGAGATCCGGCGATTAGAAATCATGTTCAAAACTGAAAAACAAAGATATCTCCTCAATCTAAGTGCTGTCATTTTTAATATACACATGATATAATATATAATAATATTTTTCTATACAAAAACCAAACACACTTATTTTTGGTTATTTTAGTTCTGTTCCCAATAGGTGCGGATTTTAGAGACAAAAATTAAATTAACAAATAATTAACAACCGATTGTGTGGTCACTTGGGATTTTTTTAAATTTGCTATAATTTACGTGATATTATATTAATATAATTTTTGTGCACCATCCATTGTTTACATTGCGCGAAGAACACGATCGTCCAGCGGAATCGGACTTTTTCTCGCATTTGTTCCGCCCTGACTCGCCCATCACTGAATGCTGATTAGCCACATCACTATCGCACAGTTAAGATGAGGGCTTTGTACGCGCTTTTAAATATTAGGGTACCATCTGGAAACGGCGAAACCGGCCTTGCTCTTTCTAGCCGAGACCCCACCCGGGGTACAGATTAGAACACTCTTTTGTGCCCCGGGCTGGAGTTTGCGTGTACGTCAGAGAGGACATTTGTTTTCGACGCCTCGGCAGCCTTAAAGGTACGGACCTGTCCATCTTATGGCTACGCGTAGACAGCGACGACCATCCCTGCGTCTACGGGTGCCTATATAGGTCCCGTAGCGGTAATGCCGACACAGACCGACTGATCAACCACGTCCAGATCACTGCAGACTCCGTGCTACAACAGATCCCATCCGCAGAGATCGTGATACTTGGTGATTTTAACGCCCACCACGCTGAATGGCTTGGTTCTCGTTTAACCGATCATGCGGGTATATCTGTTTATGACTTTGCTTTGGCGTACGGTCTAACACAACTGGTGACCTCGCCTACGGGGATCCCAGATGTGGAAGGTCATATACCTTCCCTGTTGGACCTTCTGCTGACCTCTCATCCGGACGGATATCAGCAGCTCTCCGTTGATTCCCCTCTTGGCTCCTCGAAGTATTGTCTGACCCGGAGTACGGTGTCACTGACGCTCCCATCGCGGTTGCGTACTGCAGGTTGTCGCCGTGTTTAGCATTATAGATCAGCCGATTGGGACGGGATGCGATCTTTTTTGCATCCTACCCTTGGAGGCGGGTTTGCTTCTCGCCGGATGATCCCAGCGTTGTTGCCGATTCGGTCGCTGATTTGATGCTACAGGGAATGGAACTATTTATTCCATCATTTGTGGTACCTATCGGTGGCAGAACCCAGCCCTGGTTTGGTTGCTCTTGCAAAAATGCATTATATCATAAGCAGGAGTGTTACCAGACCTGGGCTCGCGCATCGATGCCTCGGGATGTAAATACCAGCGTTCTCAAAAAGAAGTATAATTCTGCTTCCAGGTTCTTCAAAAGTGTCACTGTCAGGACAAAGTCAGAGCACGTCGGCAGAATTGGTAAGAAACTTGTTCGTCTTACTTCGGGAACACATGCATTCTGATCTCTCGCCAAGGCTGTCCAAGGGAACTTCTGCCAGCCATCTCTTCCATCTCTGCAAAGGGAGGTTGTCATAGGCCCATGCCGCAAAGGACAAAGCCGATCTAATGGGCTCTCTCTTTGCATCCAACTCGACTCTTGATGTTTACCCAACGCTCTGTGCGCAGAGCACTCCTCTCCCTGGACATCAACAAGTCGAGGGGGGCTTGATGGCGTCCCTCCTATTGTGCTGAAGACGTACGCTCCGGAGTTGGCACTGGTCCTAACGCGTCTTGGGCGAAGGCAGTAGAGTCCAATGGGGAGGCGTTGGCCGTTAGTTTGGACATAGCGAAGGACTTCGATCGGGTTTGGCACAAAGCGCTTCTTACGAAGCTTCCTTCCTATGCGCTTCCCAAAAAATTGTGCAATTGGATCACCAGTTTTCTTCCTGATCGGAGCATCAAGGTCGTTGTAGACGGTACATGCTCCGATTGCAAGCCAATTAATGTTGGTGTTCGACAAGGCTGTGTGCTATCACCAACGCTGTTCCTTCTGTATATCAATAACATGTTGTAAATCGGTAGCATTCAATGCTACGCAGACGACAGCACTGGTGAATCTTTATACACCAGCCGTGCCAATATTTCTCGGGAAAATGTTGCCGAGTACCGGGACAAACTTGTGTCTGAATTCGAGACTTTTTTGAACAAAATCTCGGTTTGGGGGCGAATAAATCTAGTCCAGTTTAATCCCCAGAAGACACGATTTTGCGCGTTTACTGCTAAAAAGAACCCCTTTGTCGTATCTCCTCAGTTTCAAGGCACTCCCCTTGTTGCCTCATCTAGTATCGGAATCCTCGGCGTCGACATATCGAGTGGCGTGCAGTTTCGTGATCACTCGGAAGAGAAGGCCAAATTGGCTTCTAAAAAGGTTGGCGTGCTTAGCAGAGTGGGACAGTATTTCATGCCGGCTCTCCGCCTGCAACTTTACAAGGCACAGGTTCGGCCGCACATGGAATACTGCTCCCATCTCTGGGCCGGGGCTCCCCAGTGCCAGCTCCTTCCATTTGATCGCACCCAGAGCAGAGCAGAGCAGTTCGAATCGTCGGCGACCGAGCTCTTTCCGATCGGCTTGACTCACTGGCATTGCGAAGAGATGTTGCATCTCTATGCGTATTTAATGGCATCTACCACGGGGAGTGCTCTGAGGAATTGTTCGGACTAATTCCAGCCGCACAGTTTCACCATCGCACATCGCGACAAAATTCGCGATACCATCCATACCATCTGGATGACTGGCGATCCACCACTAAGCGATTTAAAAGAAGTTTTCTTCCTCGCACAACTTCCTTGTGGAATGAACTACCACCAGAGATTTTTCCGGACCGATACGACTTAGGGACCTTCAAGAAAAGAGCTTATTCCTTTTTAAAAGGCCGGCAACGCATCTGCAATCCCCCTGGTGTTACAGCTATTCATGGGCGACGGGAATCACTTACCATCAGGTAGGCCGTATGCTCGTTTGCCACCTCTCCTATAAAAAAAACTCTTAGCCGTTGCGGTGATTTCCAACATACAAATCTAAGCAAAATAAAAGCCATTAGGCTACTGTCGCTTAACAACTTATACTTGCATGACACGTTTATTGACTTATTCATAGATAGTGAAATCAACCAACAAAAATTTTAACAATCACTTAAATAATTTTGGTAGGAAGAAAAACAATTCTTACCATCTATTTTCACTTCACTCTTTTATTTTTTTCTTACTCAATGTAAGGTTTAATAAGAAAAAACAAATAATTATGGCTCTCGCTAATTTTAAATGTGTTAAATATCAGCAACAAGCACATTCTTACCCTTACATTTCCTAATATTATCTTTCCACGATTTCATGTGGAAATTATGCAGCACTTGCGGGTGAGTCCATATCTTCTGCAGTATGTGGAAATCTCTCATTGTACGCTGCTCGCCAAACTTTGTGTAATGCGTTAAATAATGCTCATATAGATCGCTTTGACATTTCGTCAAAGGTATGAAGTAGGTGTATTCGTGTTTCTCGGGGAGGTACGGATATAGTACCGACGCCTCTTGACGCTGAAGGCAACCTTCTAACAGCTTGTTTAAGACTTGCGTCCGCGTTTTCATTAATTTAATATCTTCCTCTCTTGAATCGCAGTGTTGACCGTTCATAATTGGAATCTGGAATCTATCAAAACATTAAAACCATAATAGAGTGATAAAGATAATTATCTGATGTGGCATATTTTATAACTAATGGTGATGCAAAGAGGCTATTGCGGTCCTTGAACACCTGCAGCCAGCTTCAAACAAACAAAGCCACTGATACAGTTGTCACCTCCAAGGACTGAGTTGGAATGCCTCACAGCCTGATTATACTGCTCTATATATCTCTTTCAGACCAGAACACAACAGACAACGGTGCAAACACCCATACGTACCATACGTACCAAGACAGCCTCCTAGGCAAAGGCAAAAATAATCCAACCACATAGTAACATTTACAGAATTCTAATAAGAATGTCATAAAGAAGCACATAACCTGTATGATTCTATAGAGATATCCATCCACTCCTCCTCAACAAACCTAAAACAGTTTTCTGGACAAGTCTCTACTCTTGAAGATTTCCAGCAATCGCCACTACTAATAGAACTATATGATAATATAAAAGTAATCAGGTCGTGTTTAGGTCATAACGTACCCGCCTAAATAAGTTTGCGTACTGTTATATCCCTTTTTAGAAGGCAGTAAAATCTTTAGTAAGAATTTATTTTATCACACGGTACTTTTCCCTTATATGACTTTAGTCAGCGATTGTATCGTCCATGTTCATTTTATTTCCATTTTAATGATCAGTTAGACACAGAGCCCCGGTTAGATCGGACAGATTCCGAAATGTATTACTTTCGGAAGGCAGGGACTATATCAAATTGGTGTGTGAACTTTACTAATAAACCTTTAGGATTACTCAGTTTTTATTAAAGTCAATCGGGATCGGCCTCCTAACAAATTGGTGTCAGAAGTGGGATGCCAAACAGAAGGTCATAAAAGACATTGGCATACGAATCGAGGCCTAAAGGTTTGGTCTCTTGGTCGTAACGCACAACGCTGCGGTGTGCGGCATGCGGTGGTCTCCTGTTCCGTCGAGTAGGCGTCAGCGGCGAAGGGCAAGCGCGATGCAGTGGGGAGCGCGTACTCCGCACTGCACGGCGTCGTTCTCGTTGCCTCACTGCGGTGTGCGGCACGGGTTGACAATGGATTTGTTTGAAAATAATTTAATAGAAATAATGCTTTTTTCTCTTTCTTTGAATATTTACACATCCAAGCGACCGTTAGACCGTGTTATTTGATATTAATTTCCAAGTTATAACTGTAACCAGTCCTGAGAAATAGGGACTTGACAGAAAGGCGGGCGGACGGACGCACGGTCGGATGGACTTATTTGCTTTAGAGGGAGGGAAACCTCAAAAGTACCTTCCGGAATTTCAACAAATTCATAATAATATCCTGGAAAATATTTATGCAGCGTAAACGCAATGTGTGCGGTCTTTGGTTAAAAAGTTTTAGTATGTTTGGTAATGTCTAAACTGATATAATAACATATTTTTATTAACTCTCACAATTTAGGTTTTAGAAAGGAAAAGTATTAGCTATGTTTATAATACTATGAATAGGGAGTTTGATGCCTCGGTATGTCAATCAATTGCCTTGACCATCAGGCTCAGTATTGTACGCGTATGCTTGTGTGCGTATGTGTGTTCGTGTGTTTGGTATTAATGTTACATAATAAGTATTTTTGTAAAAGATGGATAGATCTGTCCTCAAGTAAGAATCAAAATTAAAAATATAATATGTTGATATACAGAACAATATCTTGTTTTGGCAAGGTATTGAATAAACACCAAAAAAAGTATAAAATAAGAAAAACAAATTTTCATTACCTGTAGGAATATTCCGAGTAGCTTCCGAGCAGATACGGTTTGATGAAATTCACCATACAATAATATTCTTTGGGATTATTCTGTATTTGGGTGCCGGTGAGGACTATGCGTCGTTTGGTCGTAACTCTGTTCATTGCGACCGCGAGCACCGAACTGTCGTCCTTTAGGAGATGGCCTTCGTCACAAACTATGATGTCCGGGCCTGGGTCCAGCAGTGCCAACCGAATTTTGTTTACTATTGTTGGGCAAATTCCGTCCAATACAGGATCCAAAGTTGACAAATTACAGAATAACTCGTAACCGATAATAAGGATACCGCCTCCTTTGTACCAGTCTTCGAGTTGACATGCTCTCTCGGAATTCTTCTTCCGCTTCGATAACTCAAATACCTGTCATAATAAAAGGTTCATTACATTGTGTAGCAACGTTATTCAAAAGATAGGTCACAAATATTAGGCCTTTACCTATGAAATTGCCGTTTCTGAAAATTAAGTTAATGTAGTTTTTTTTCAATATTTTTTTATTTCTATGAATCAAAGTATAATCACCCACGCAATAGATGTATCTTTGCCAAGCAGTAGCACTTCCAACCCTAGTTCTTGTAATTTGGGGACCGTCTGTCGTGCAGTATGAGGTCACGCGTTATCGTGCAGGAGTAACGCCAACGAGCGATTGACCAAATCTGGTTGGAGACGTACGAGCTTCTCCATCATTGCGTTCAGTTCTTCACAGTACACATCTGCAGCAATTCTCATCCCGTTTCGTAAGAAGCTGTGACAAATCACACAGGCATTAGACCACCAAGCAGTGACCATCACTTTTCTAGGGAGTAAGTTTTCGTTTAGGGCATTGTATATGTGCTGAACCAGGATCCAATCAACTTACTGAGAACTTGCGATTGTCGAATCCACTTTTCTTCGCAGGTAACAATGCGGTTCAAAATTCCTTCGTTTGTGCGCCCGTTGAGCAGTGCAAGTCACGTACTTCACACGGCGATGATGGAGTTCGTGGGGCACCCATTTGTCAAGCTTTTCTACCTTGCCAATTTGACGCAAATAGACCAATACTGTTTGATGCTAACATCGAAGGTGATGCTGACGTCGCTGATATTGCGTGCCGCTTGAACCGGGTTGCTGCCACAACGGTACCTACTCATATTCTATAATTACTCGATTTTGAGATTTGAATGATTTTGTGATGAAAACATAACGTTAATCAATAAACAAATGACTAGTATAAAAAAAGGATTCCATGTTTTGAAAATAAAATTAATTTGAAATCAGAATTCTTAGCCAAACAAAAATCATTTTGATTTAGAATGGCCAGTACTACAGAACTACAATTTCATAGGTAAAGACCTATTATTTAAATTTATAAAAAAATTTAAAGCTTACTGGACATATTTTTTAAGACCAGCAAAATGTATTATACTAGGTATTCAATTATTCATTTTAATTACATTAAACCCTGAGACCAGTCGATAATGTTAAGACTTCGCGCATACCACCCACATCTAACATCATCATAAACAGCAGGGAAGATTTTCCGTAATCGTCACGCTTGCATTGGCGATGGCAGCATTAGACATCATGCAGCTTTGATGCCGCTTCCTGTCGTCGAATATATTTTGCACCACCACATATCAGGCCATGAAACCCCCTTATTTTCAGTCAACTTATACGACAGACAAGGACAGAATTTGTGCATTCATGTGTACGTCTAGTCTAAGTACAAGATAATTGTATATCTATCGCCGATCACAAGGTATTCCACACACGGGAAAAATGATATGATGGAACTTTTAACGCCTTCACCATACAGTCCAGATAGATATTTTTTATACATTAAGGATGACAAAATAGCATACAGTCCACCTGAAGTAGTTGTGGCTGATAGACATCTATCATCAGTTAATGATCAAAATTTAAAAAACACACACACACACAATTAATATGGATTTATTGATTCAATTAATTGAAAATTTCTATTTCATAACAAATTAATGAAATAAACATCTCCTAATTATTTTAAGCACACTACACTACACATACAATGCAATAGAGTTCAAAATGTTTTATCGGGTGTCTAGTATCAATGGCTAGGCTGAGGAAATTACCTGCATTCTCCTCTTCAAATTGCGTGACTTAAAAGAAAATTTTGATTTAATTTTAATTATTTAAATAGTGTAAAGTGTAAGACGATTTCTGGCAGCACATCAGAGCCTGTCTATTGGTCGTCGACTTTTTGGCAACTTAAACTTAACCTACATATATATACGTCCCACAGCTGGGCACAGACCTCTTCTCATCTTCGAGATGGTTTTTCGGCAAGGAAATATCCGCCGCGCTGCTCTAATGTGTGTTGGCGGACATCACATGCATTCGTAATAATTTTTATTTAGTTTCGTAACATTAAAGCTTGACAAGCACATTTTGTCACACGAGATATTCCGATATTCATTTTTGTACAATTATGTACAACAGACACGAGAGAGATACAGTCAAAAAGGTGAATGTTGTCGTAATTCTGTACCTAGAATATATAAATTTAATTTAAAAAAAGTATGAGCAGATTGTTTAGTTAGTTAAGTTAGAGGCGGTGTCAGGATATCCAATAGTCCATATCGCCTCGTGGATGTCGTAAGAGGCGACATAACGGATAAGTACGTTAAATATCTATTTATAGTGTAACTTTCAACATAACAAATAGAAATAGCTTACTGCTCTGTTCCTTACCTTGAGCTTGTTTGTTACAGGTCCGATCCACTTGTGAATCTCATCGACCCAGGTAAGGACGGTGGACAGCGGACAGCACACCAACACTCGTTGCATGCCGACGCGTGGGTGTGTCAATACCTAATGCGATATAAAAACGGATCAATTAAGTTTTCGTAAATTGTTTTTTTGAAGTACGAATATATTAAATTATGTAATGAAACAATGTATTAAACAAATTGTTATTCATTTTATCCCTCTGTACATGTTGGTCGATGTTGGAGCCAAAAATACACAGACCCTATTTTGTTGAATTTAAAGTAATGCCACAAAAACATAACTTGTAAAAAAACAAGTCTCGCAACTCAGTTCTTCTATCGTAAAAAGTTGTAAGATCTATGTAATACCAAACCAGTTAATTTATTCAGTCCTTATGTCTGAGGCCGTGGAAGGAAAAGTGGAGATCTCCCGCCGGGCAAGGTGTTCTTCCCCGGGAGCGGCCAACACTCCGTGTGATAGTTCAAAGATGTTCTATATATACTGTTTATGATTCGGAATTTTGATAGCGTGATTTAGGCTTCGGTGTACTTCGCTTGTGGCGCAACGACAGGGCCGCCACATGTCTTATGGAATTACGTAATTAGCTAACCTAACATCTTATAGTGAACATACCATTATTAAAAATCTTATATGTTTTAAATAAATAGATTGTTTTATCCATCGCATGTAAACACAATGTAGTTCACAATTAATACATATATAATATTAAATAATATTGTTTAGTGCGATTGCCAAGTCAATATATTTATTTAAAACATAAAAGATTTGTAATATTAGTTTTATTCATAAAGAAGTTAGGGGGGTCAAAAATGGCCTGAACTGCTTCGAGAAAAGGATGGTACAGCCGTGCCGCACTTTTGCTCGACTTCGCGGGGCACTGCTGTGCCCCCAAATTGAATAGTTAAAATAAGCGTTGGATTTTTTTGAATGGATACCGGTATCCACCGTGATCAATCAATTGATACTATTATAGCTATCAGCAAACACTGAGGCACTAGCTAATCATCTCTAGCACCTCAAGAAATAAAATCGGAACTATGATTTTATGCAGCCTGCCTGATGTCTGACTAGACAATTAACCAAGCAAAAATTAATATGTATTACATTAGAATTAGATCAACAAAATCTTAAAACCCCATTTCATAGGCAATTTCATGTGTCAAGACATGCTCATATGAATACACGTACTTATATTCGATTACGACTTCCGAATAACACTACTTGTAAATAACATAAGTTCTATAAAATAAAGCCTAAGTTAAAACTTCAAACATTTTTGGTAATTATACTGAAATCTGGATAGATCTTGACTAGATATAGACTTAAATTTTGGAGTTTTAACTAGATATTGTCTCTGAATACCGTCCTAAGTGGAACAATAAAAAGGCTTTGGATTAGTATAAGGTAGCAGTAAAACTACACCGCTTTTCTAATCTGTAAAAACTTTATACAGTTAACAGTATAAACGCACATATCACAATACAACATACATAATATAATAATGAGTTGATTAACCAGTTCAAATCAATTACTAAAATTCTACAATATCACAATGTGATCGCACTAAAACATATAAAAACAATATTTACATAGATAGAAATTTTAACTAATAATAAAGATATAGAAACTTTGACGAATCAGTATTTTTAAAACCAATTTAGATTCAGTATTTAAAATATTGGTAAAATTAATGTTACGAGCTTGAGATTCGTGACAATAAAAACTGCAGATTGAATTGCCAAAATTGACACTTTAATTACCGAACACCAATTTCAAAGCACACTAATAATAAACAGTTCAATTCGCAGTTTTTTCACTTCGAAGTATTCGCTTGTATTACCAATTCAAAACTGCGTCGGTCGCGGTCCTCACCGGCCTTATATAGGATAGGGCCTCTTCTACTAAAACATCTAGAATGTTCAAGTACATACCGGTCCCGACTGATTAGCTGTAGAAAGTTTTATTATGGAATTCTCTATAAGCATTAGTTCTGCTACTCGTTACTAGATAGCGCTAGTGCCATGTACCAGGCATTAATTATGGCGTGTAACATTAAAAATTTTGTACAACCGTCTTCAATATAAGTATTAGGTATTAAATATACATAATTAAAGTTACATGTATACAAGGTTATATAGTTAACATAACGTTAACAAAAAGATGTCATAGGTCTATATTATATAATTGTGTATTAGTATGCACAATATTAGGAGTATACATAAGGTTTACAATTGAGTTCATTGCTATCTAAAAAAGCGCCTCTCGCCATCAATCGTAAAAGTTTGGCGAGTTTTGAATTAGGTAACATCACTTTATTATGAATTTATGAATTATGAATTCATTAATAAATTAAAAAAATAAAAATAAAATGAGAACAACATCAATGTGGTCGAAGTCAATTAAAAACACACTATTAAGGATAACTCAAAAACTACAGGTCAGATGTTAATCAAATTTATATGTGACCAAAAGTTCTGAGGTAACAACACACTTAAAAACGTGCAGTCGAATTGAGCACCTCCGCCTTTTATGAAGTCGTTTGGAAAATTTATATTGATATCTATTCTGCAAAAAGTAAAATAAATAACATGCTATTTACTGAGTCCATCATTTTTTATTTAAACCCTGGATAGGTAGGTTTTCACACTGTGAAATCATGCGGTCGTGTTATATACTTACCGTGTGGAGCAACGCCAACACTTGCAAAGTCTTGCCGAGCCCCGGGCAGTGGGCGAGTATGCAGCCGCCGCCGGGGTGGCCCGCCTCTATCATCGCCAGGCTCTCGAAGCAAGCGTCCCACATGAACTTTACACCTTCGTACTGCGAACGTTAAATTAAAAGGGTCGTAGAACTATCGTCGTACAACCAAAAATTTTTATAGTTCTAGTTGGAGTTGTTTACCGTTATTTTAGTGCTGGATATGTTGGAGATTGAAGGAAACTAAGGTGAAACCGGCATGTTTTGAAATTTAGCGGGACCATAATATAATGTTCGTTTACACGCATTGAAGCAGCGCTGCGGCCTTTTCCTGCCCACTCAGGTATAAGAAGTGGCCATCGCCCAGCAGGTAGACGAATTTAGTTTATTATTTTACATTTAAAACTCAAGAAAGTCTAATTGCATTATGTAACAGTAAATTGACATGTTAAAGGTAGGATAGGGGATGAAAATGCACGATTTTTTTAAATACATAATTTAGGAGAACTTATAAAATACTATTACATACCTGATGCACTTTCATGACCTTTGTAAAGAAAGGATGAACGGTAACAACGGGGCAAAGTCCCTCAAAATTGTATTCGAGACACACTTCATCGTTTATGACTAGAACATTTAGCCCATCCTCACCAAGTAGTTCCCTCTGAAATGTGTACAACTGATTAACAATGTGAAAGTTCAAAGAATCGACAACCACTGGGGGGAAAATGTTCTCGAGTGACAGCCTCGTACTGGTGGGTGGGGCTACCGCCCAATAGATGGAGTGTCGATCTGGTTAGACATGCAGGAAGTTGATGGATGCAGGAGGATAAGAACCGTGCTTTGTGGCACCCCTTGGGGGAGGCCTATGTTCAGCAGCAGACTTGTGAAGGGCTGTAGGTAGGAAAAAATACTAAAAGTCACTTTTACCAACACTGAACTTATGCGGACTACGATGATTTGTTTCTCGATAAATAATATCGACGTAGTCCTCGCCTTACGTTGCTTACGAACGTAGACGGCGACACTAGTGTATTGACACGTGTACAATTTATATATGCGTAAATGCAATGAATACAAACACAAATGCTGTAGTGTATGTGTATAGTGACGCGATTCAGTTTTGCATTTGTAGTGAAGTATACTGTAGAGTGTTTTTCTTGCGTCCCCCTGACATTGATAGACATTTTTGTTTCGGAATTAACGCGCATTGCCTCTCCGATTGGCTTAATACTCAAAGAACCACGCACTTTGAATAAAAAATAAATAGGACAGAATGTTTGAGATTTTATTTAAATAATTTTTCTTCACTATTTGCCTATATTACTTGTGCTGAACCTTCTCTGCAAACTTGGCCAGTTATTGCAGAATAACCCTGTATATACCGCAATATTTCGGAACTTTGACAGTAAGATTTAGGCTTTGGTGCATTTTTACTTGTGACGCGACAACAGTGCAGCCACAACAGCAACATTACGCAGACGAAATAAAAACTCAAGACAGAGCTCCGTCGAACAACGCACTGAGGCAGGTAAATAGTTCGGCTTATGCCCTGTTTAGACTTTCTGCTACAGTTAACATTGACGCACTTCTAACAGCTTATTATGGGATAGTCGAATCTGTCCTTAGATATGGAATTATTTTCTGGGGTAACTCAACTGACAGAGAAGTAGCATTTAAAAGTCAGAAAAGATGTATCCGTGCAATGTTTGGTCTTCAGGCTACCGATAGTTGTGCGCCGTATTTTATTAAACACAGAATTCTTACACTTCCGTCCTTATACATAATGGAGACGGCTCTCTTTGTCAGGGCCAATCCCAACCTATTTCCACGGTTAACTGACAAAGTAAAGCGCAACCGTCGTGACGGAAGTAAATTGTATTTGCAACAAGCAAAAACGGCTCTGCTAAGAAAGAGTGTAGTATGCATGGCTCCTAAAATCTATAATAAAATTCCTCAGATGTATAAATCATTGAACAGCAATCTTTTTAAAAATAAATTCAAAAAACTTCTAATTGAAAAATGCTACTACACTGTAACGGACTTTCTCAATGATAAATTTTGACATTATATAATTGCCTTATACATACATATATTTTTAATTATGACTGTTGTAAGTAATAATCTCGCTGACTTTGTATATTGATAGACTTTGCCAATGTTAAATGAAAATTAACAATCTAATCACTTTAAATTTTACACACCGAATATGACGGTAAGACATATTGACACTGATAACACTAACACCCAAGAACATATCTCTGCCCATGCACTGTATATCTCACACATGTTTGAGTAAATAAAAATATCTTATCTTATCTTATCTTATCTTAAAACTACGCCTTGCCTTGTACATACACAGTTTCACGCACACAAATATAACGAAACTACGCCTTAGCTTCTCATTCGAGCTATTCCAGCGCACGGAGTGTCACGTTATAATAATTTGCAGTTTTTAAAGAAAAAATGCCGAATTGTGTTGTGAAAGGGTGTAAAAACCAATCTTCCAGAAATAAAAAACGGGATTGAATCACATTTCATACGTAAGTAAACATAAAAATCTAAATTTTTAATTAATAATTTTTATTATTTATTGTGACAGCTTGGAACATAAAACGTCGACAAGTGTTGCCACTAGTGAGCGTCACCGTAGTCCCCATTTATTCGGTAAGTTATTAATGGGACGCGAAACTTAATGTAATTCTATTTAATATATTTCTATTTTACTTATAATATTTATAAAATTATTGTAAGTGTAAGTAAGTGTGAAGGTTCTTCGTTACAATTTCTAAGAGAAATCAGAAATGATTGTGCTGATTTAGCCAGTCGTTTAAATATCGGAGAATTTAATGACTATAAAAAATACATTATCGGATATATATCAGGAAGTACAGCGCATTGCCTGTCAAGGGTCATAAAGTGTCAAACGTGTCTAGCTCGCTTACAGTCGGATGAGATATTTGACTTCCATAAACTGATATCTTTAAAAGATAAAGGTGGCTTAATCTTTCCGTCGAAAGACCTTTTTGAAATTTGCGTAATTTGTGAAACTGTTGTACGTAAATTATGTAATGTATGATAGTTACTGAAAGCCAACACAAATCAGTTGTTATTAATATTTTAAAACGATTTATTGGTACCGACGTTTTCTCCAAATTGGAGACTGAGAACAATTATGCTGGTCAAGAGCATAAAATAAGCTTAATAAGATGCATAATTGAAAAATATTTATCAATTCGTTTCTACCATATTTCTAAATTGGAAACAATTTCCAAAACGGTGGACAGTAAACGGCAATATTTAAAAAAATTAACTCAACAAAAAGGTTATTAAAATAAAAACAATGTTTCTTTCATATTACTATTGTTTTATTTTTCCCCTTCTTAGTCGAAATACTACTTCTTAAAGTGAGGTACACAATTGAAAAAATTGCCAACTTATCTTTTTACTTATCCATTCATCCTGATAGTACTTAGACAATAATATATTAGGGCAATAAATTTTTATTGCACGGCAACACTCGCTTAGTGCACACATCTTTACCAAACCGACCTCACTTCTTTGTTGACAGCGCTCTGTCTTGAGTTTTTATTTCGTCTGAGCAACATTATGCTACAGTTTTTTTTTATATAAAAGAGGCCAAACGAGAATGCGCCTCATCTACGGTTAGTATCGACCGACGCCCATGAACAACTGCAACAACAGGGGAATTGCACTTGCGTTGCCGGGGCGTTTAAAAAAGGAGTAAGCTCATTTCTTGAAGGACCATTTATCGTATCGATTGGAAAAATTACTGGTAGTAGATGTTTCCACAAATAATTTGTGCAAGAAAAAAAAACATATAAATCACACCGTGGTGAACCGCTAAGCAACCAGATGGTGTAGATGGTATCGTAAGTTTTGTCGCGATGTGCGACGGTAATGTTTGGCAGCTGGAAGGAATCTGTGTCGGCGTGGTTTGTATCTGGTCGAGTCAAACTACTTATAAAATATTTACTTGAATATTCTGGAATATTCTGGATGTTTTCGTGGAAGAGCCCTATATAAAGGCGCTGCAAGACGCGATCGAGGCAGTATTGAATTTGGCGAGACAAGCGATGCTTCGTAGCGAAATAAAGTGAATCAGTGTGATTAATCATTAGTGTTTTTAGTTTTAATTGGTGTAAAGAAAATTAAAAGTGTAAATTTTGGTAATTCAATCGGCAGTTTTTATTGTCACGAACCTCAAGCTCGTAACAATACATAATAAGTGTATAGATAAGATATATAGATCATACAAAGAAATGAAATCTTACCAGTCTTGTTTGGCGTCTGATGAGTCGACGTTTGCGCTCAAACTCTTCCGTATTCGCTATCACTATAGTATCGATATCCAAAGATTTTTTGTCTATAACCTTAAAATAAATTTAAAAAAAAAAATAAGTCTCAATATGTATTTCAACTTTTGATACACTGTGTTTAGGTAACATCGTATGTTAAATATAGTATATTTCATATGGTTTCTTGACTTAAGGCTTGTCCCCGCGTCAGTGACCTTAGGTGTGTGGCCAGAAGTCTTTACCGCTCTCCGTACTACCCCGCACCCAAAGATCACTTTCTCACTATAAGATTCCCATTGCGTAGGTACACTATACCACAATTTAAAGATTAACAGTTGTGAAACGCCTTTGATGTCAGGCGATGCCGCCGTCCGCGTAGGTGTTTATCCAGGCGATGTACATGCTAGGGGTTGTCAAGAAATTGGGAATAAAATAATTTTGGATATTATAATACTCATTATCATTAATTAACATTATGTACAAGTTAAAACTGTTTACCGCATAAAATACTATCATATTTACAATTCTCTAGTCAAACCTCACATCTATTATCTGATAGAAATTTGGGACTCAGCCGCAAAGGATAACTTAAACCCAAAACAAAGAGTTCAAAATAAAATTATAAATTTTCTATTCAAACATAATTCTATCTCACACCAACTTATAAAATATATAATGATACTAAACTGTTAAATATAAATTCATCGTACGTTTATCATACATGTATTCCGATTCAAAAAATAATAAATAAAGATGTCCACACTTATTTAAGTTTCAGGAGCACCGGCATCTGCATTTGAGCCCGGAGCGGTCCGTCACGTAGTCCCAGTCGCCTCAGATGACCCGAGAGGCTGACCGGGATTAACCCATTCGCAGAGACGACTGCAGGAATAATTTCGGTCGGCAGACCACCTCACATGTCGATCACCTCGTGAGCCAGGTCCAGATATTTTGTTTTCTTATCTGATTCGGCTTTCACGAGGTTCTCGTCATACGGAATGCTAATGTCGACCAAAAATGTCCTTGACTATGCCCGGTCCATCAGCACTATATCAGGCTTATTCGCAAGAATAGTCCTGTCTGTGATGATGTCCCGGTCCCTTCATCATTCATTATCATAGTTCATTTTCGAGAACGGCTGCCAGCAAGTTGTAAATACTTAGAATTGCTAAATTCACAAGTGATATTTAGCAAATCCACAAGATGGGGGCGACTGTAGGCGAATAACTGTCGAATGAATACAGAGAAGGTGGGTCGCTTTTGTACCTCCTTTCTGAAGCTGTAATCCCCTCCCGGAGCCCTCCAGTGAAGTATTGAGAGGGTTCAAAGAGAGGCAGAACCAAATTTGAATCAGACAGTCGCCCTAGAAGATACCCCTTCTTATCCTTATGCGACTTTCCGTAGCCTTCATCCGCTCCGAGGAAGTCTCTAACTGCACAGTCAATCTTGTACAGCTCGAGGACCCTCCTTAGCCATGTTTCGAGTCGAATGCCTTTCTATATATAGTCTATCCAGGCGGCGGAGAAGTTCCGACGGTTGCGTTTTACCAGTTTGCCAATGACCGCGTCAATGAGGAGTGGTTCCTTGGTTCCACGACATCCATTTTGAGTGTGCGACATCACCTCATTTGAGCCCAGGTGACGAGTGATTCTCGCGCACAGAATAGATGTTAGTGTCTTGTAAATGGTCGGTAGATACGTGATGGAGTGGTATTTGCTCGGGTATGTGGTACCCTGGTCCTTAGGAAAAAAATGAGTGATCTCAGTAGTGAAGAGGCTCGGGAGCGACTTCTGGTTGAGAGCCTCTTGAAAATGTCGACGAGCACAGCGTGACACACCACAAACCCCTTCAACCAGTAGTGATGTTGCCCGTCAAGCCCCGAACTTTTCCAGTTCGGGGTCCTACGGACCGCATCAGCTACGTCATCCGGCGTTATGATGACGGGGTCCGTGGGCATAATACCCGCACACTAACTCGCCACAACTTCCGTCCAAGGGCCCTCGCTGTGGTTTACGGGCTCTGACCACAGGCCGCGCCAGAATGCGACAGTGTCGGCCTGATTCGGTGCTGGGCCCGTTCCACCTACCATTGGTCGCTTCTAATGATTTATAGATCCTCCTCTGATCACTCTGGAAGAGACGATTCCGGTTGAACCCTGTCGACCTCTCGGTATATTGCCGAATCCGCTTTCCCCAAGAAGCGATGCTCTGCTTGAGATCATCTATGCGCTCCGTTATTATTATTATTATTTAATGTGTAGTGTTCGCGTAAATTTAAGAAAGCAATATTAAATAAATCACCAAGAATTAAAAAAATAAAAATTACTGTATTTTAAAACCACAGATGCATAATAAACTTGTGGAGAAACGACGCGCTCGGCCTCGGGCGTTATCGTAAACAGTCGGCGGCGCGAACGCAGCTACAAAGGGCACTCGGTTTTCTCCAGCCAGTCAGTCGGTTTAGCTACGCGACGCCGAGAGGCTGCCCATCTTGCGCCCCGTTCACGACTACGCGATACGATTATTGTTTGTTTGATTTATTGTTATATGTGTCCTTCAATAAACTATTAACTGTATATGTGTGGTTTAATTCGCCATCAGCCACAAACTAACCTTTCTTATACTGCGTCGTCCTTTATCATATGCATGTGAAAATTTGTTTCTTGGTAGAGGTGAACCATCAGAAGACTCACCAAAAAGCCCCCTTGACAGAACACTGAAATTCAAGAGCATTCATTTTGATAATAATTTTGGTCTATAACTGACAAAATAAAGGAGTTTAAAAATCCTATCGTTTTTAGGGTGTCGTCAATTCATAAGATAAACATTAGAATAAACATATCAGAAAATGATGAAATTAAGGTATTTAGACCCGTAACGTCCATGTTGCGATAATTGTATTAACACAGTAAGTTAAAGTCTGAACGAAAGGTAAAAATATAAAATGATTTTCGATAAGTGCACGGTTCAAATACCATATATTTATTTTATGCTAACGCGGTTCGAACCGCCGCGCCGCGAATGACATAAAAACCTATAATGCACCATTTTCTTATTAAACTCAGTGCGTGCAATAAACTGCTAAAGTAACAACACGTGTGCTTACTTTATACGCCACTCATACTTACTTACTATGGTTATAAGCTATCTTTAAACTACATAACTCAAAACTAACTTAACTATCAAAGAATGTGTACGATTTATAATCTATATTGAATAAAATAATATTCTTTTAAATGGTGACATGATTTATTATAGGACAGATAAAATACCCAGACTGGTGACGGGGAACGGTGTTAAAGGTGTGTGACATCTGGAACCATTGGCAACTGACCTTCCAATTGTGGTGGTTGGAGCAAATCCTTCCTAAAATGCTAGAGGCTCATCACTCCAGTCCAGCAGTGGGCTGTTAGTCTGATGAAAAGGAGGGTACGATAATATATCCAACTTTAATTGAATAAGGTTACATTTAGGGTTTGGGGACTTTTTGTAATTTTAGTTGTCTCAAGTCCCGGGACTTACGGGTCGAGACTCGAGACGAGACAAGATTGTCGAATTTGTTATGTTATCATTTTTATTTTCAAATAATTGAAGGAGCCTAACGCCATCTGTTAGTTAAATTAAAAAAAGCAGTTTCAGTTGTTCAAAATTTGAAAAAGCACAGTAAGTTTGGTACTACTGTATAAAGCCTTAAACGCAATTTAACTGACAAGTTTGAACAGCTGAAATTCCTTTTTTAATTTAACAACCGGAAAAAGCACAGGAAGTTTGGAACTACTGTATAAAGCCTTAAACACAACTAAACTGACATCTGTAGAAAACGAGTGTGTGTTCTCCTTGTCCGGTGGCATTATTACAAAAATCAGAAACAGATTGTCGGAGAAAGCTGTTGACACTTTGATTTTTTTAAAAGCCTATTTTATTAAATAAGCAAGGAAGTCTAATTAATGTGTTAGTTACTTATTTGAAGGTCTGATTCATAAGTGTTTTATGATTTTTATTAAAATTATTAAATAGGTATGAAACAAATCTGTGATAAGGAGAATTAACAATGTTGTGATTATGACCAATGATTAGATACTAGAGTTACTAGATAATAGTAAAGTCATTAAGAATTAGTATGATTTTTAACTAAGTTCGTTTTGTAACTATAAGATTTAACTGCTTAAAAGTGAATCTGTGTCTGATTAAATGAAATAAACAAAGCAACTATTGAGACTGAAAATAACTTTTAAGTTATTAAGATTTAACTTTCTGTTTAATAAATGTTGATTTTTAAAAGACATTAACCAATTAAAATCCTTAAAAAATGGCTCAACCCTCTTAAAAAAAAATTTTATCTTAAAAGTCGAAGACCCAGAAATTCCCGGGACTTTGATAGTAAACTGTCTCGTGTCTTTGATAGTAAATTGTCGAGAATTCCCAAACTGGTTAAATTGCATATATTGGGTCCTTACATATGAAATTAGCGTTTTGTCATACTGACCACTTTGATCTGAAATATCTCCTCTTTCCTTGAACATGGACAAAACAAAAATAATGTTTAATGTCCATGTCTCACCTATGCCGGAAGTTGTTGAAGAATCACTTGCAATATATGTTGGATCTTCTCTGTCTGATCTCTCATTGTTTTCAATGCTTATTGAACTTTCCTCTTCAACACCTGTATTCTTTTCTATATCTTTGTTTGGCGCCCTCTCTTCAACCTCTACTGTGTCATTCATATCACTCTCCATGACCACTACATTCCGTGCCACAGTTATTTTATCTGTTTTCTGGTCATATAACCTGTAGTCTTTGGTATTTTCTGAATACCCAACCAAATGTAACATTTGTGATTTTTCATCCCATTTGTTATGTCTCACTTTTGGAATGTGGACCATAACTGGACTCCCAAACACTCTAATATGTTGTAGATCGGGTTTCCTGCCAGTCCACATCTCATATGGCGTAGTATTATTGCCCAAAACTGCTGCTGGTGATCGATTTTTCAAATATACTGCCATATTCACAGCCTCCGCCCATAGGTGTTTGTCGAATGAAGCGTCATGCAGAAGACAGTGTGCTTTTTCTACAATTGACCTATTGTACCTTTCACTTAAGCCATTCTGTTCCGGTGTATAGGGAACTGTCTTTTGATGAACTATCCCATGTCGCTTTAAGTAATTTTCCATCTCCACTGAGCAGAATTCCCCACTGTTATCGGACCACAATTTCTTAATCTGTTGTAACTGCTGATTCTCTACCTGCTATTTGAATTCATGAAAATACTTAAAAGTCTCATTCTTTTCCTTTAGAAAGTAAACAAAGCACATCTGGCAGATAGTATCTAGCCAAACCAAGTGATTTCTTTTCCATGGGGCCACGCAGGTCTGTATGAACCACTTCTAGGACCCTGCTGCTCATGCTGGTACTAGTAGAGAAAGGCAGCCTGCTTTGTTTGCCTTCGCAGCAAACTACACAATTTGATTTGCTTATATTCTCTTTTTTCTGGTAAGTTACACCTTTGACTGCTCCTTTTTTCATTTTCTTAAGGTCATTCATATTTATATACCCCAATCGTCTGTGCCAAATGTTGCATGAGATCTGTGCAACTGCCGCTAAAAGCTGCTTCGACCTTTCAATCTTTAATTTGTACACTTCATTTTCCAAGCTCGCTTCACCAATACAAACATTCCGAGTGTTGTAGATGTAACAGCCATCTTTATTGAAGGATCATTCTGCTGACTGAAAGCAAATTTGTGGTAAGTGTCGGTATGCACAAAACATTCTTTATTTCTACTTCATGTGTGATTGTTTTCACTCGCATAGTAAGCCGAAGATCTCCGGAGCACAACACTGAAACTTTGGTGCGATCAGCGACAATTATTTCTTTCACTTTCGGCTCATAAGATATGTTTGTCAACATGTTCTTGTTTGACACCATGTGAGCACTTGCGCCAGTCGTCATGATTGAACTCTCGCGCAAGAAAAACTGCACTCAGCACGTACGAAGTTGATTTCTGTTTGTCTTTATTTAATAGGCGGCACTGGCTCTTGAAATGTGCGATCCTTTTGCAATGGTAGCAACGAATTTGTTTTTTCTGGGTTGTATTGGCATTGACGTTTCTACTGACAGGTGACGGGTTCATTTCATTTTTGCTACTGCCACTATGCGCCTGTAGGTGGCGTTTCTGTACTTGTGCAATTAGCGCGCCTTCTGACTTAACCTCAAATTCCGAACTCATGTCTAACAATTTCGTCTTTATGGCATCAGCACTTATCTTCAATCCTGAATGTCGATTGCCATTATCATTGGGCTAAATCTTTCTGGCAGTCCTGCCAGCAACAGAGAGCCGATCCATTCGTCGTTTATTTCGAATCCGGTGCCCTTCAATCGCTGAGCCGTTTCCACCATCTGATTAACGTAGCTGGTCATACTATCACAACTCTCCAAACGTATCGATGTTAGGCTTCTTAGGAGAGTAATCTTGCGCGTAAAACCAGAATCATCGAACAATGATTTCAGTTTAGCCCACAAAGCTTGTACCGTGGCTTCGGTTTTTATATGGACAAACAACGACGGATCGATTGTCATAATTATTTTTGCCCTCGCCTTCTTATTTTCAGCTTCCGTTAGCCCCGTAGTGCTGGTTACATCTATGCCTTCCAGGATCATGAAGTTTTCGGCGGCAAACGCCCAGTCGTAGTTCTCGCGTCCTTTTTTTAGTTTAGGAACGTTCACTGAGTAATTACCTGACGACATTTTAGCACTGACAGTCTATAAAAAGAAGGAACACCGAAAGTAACAGACGCTAATTACTTTTTACTTTTCAACTGGGCCCATAACCTAATGAAATAATAAAACTCGCTTGGTGGTTTGCAACAGACTAATCTTTATTTATAGTTATAGTCAGAGTAGGCAGATTTACACTCATATACCAATAGATGGCCTTAGTTGTATGATATTTTGTTATTAAGTTACAATTTATTTATAACAAGGACTAAGACGGAATGCCTCGTTTCCAGTAAAAAGGGTCTCCGGTTCTCTACACTCACCATACGAAATACAGCAGTATTAAGCTACTATTTCACGTTGGTATTCTGCGAGAGCATGGTCCTTCCCCGGTCGAGTCGACCCATTAGTGCTACAACTATACATCTGATATAACTGCAGTATGGCTCTACCACGTATAATTTAATAATTTGCAACGATAGGTGTGAAATTAAATTTTATGTACAGCTTAAGCCTCATGGAGTGGAGCAGCTAAAACTACACTTCTACCACTGGAACGCGCTCAAAGAGCTGTATTAAAAGTTGCAACATTCCGCCCTATTCTATTTCCGTCCCATCTCTTATACAAATCCTATAATGTCCTTTCAGTGCGCCAGTTATTCGTTATGAGTACGTTACTAAAACAGCACTTTAAATTGCTCTACAGAATAGAAGTCACTGATAAAAGACGCAAAGGTAAAGTAATTGAAACTAACATTAGAATAAGGCATTATTTCATACATAGATTTTTTCACATTCCTCGGCCCTTTTTTTATAATCAAGTCAATGCAATTTTGTACATATATCCATTTAAAATGTCAGACTGTAAAAAGGTAATTCGAACATGGTTACAAAATTTATCATACGATGATACGGAGAAGTTGCTGATTGTTTATATCATAAGTAAATATATTTTACCCAAATAACCCTTATTAGTTACGTTATTCATTTTATATAAGAAACAGAAAATATTTGTTAACGTATCTTTTAGCATATACACCTGATATACAGTTTTATCCTAGTTCAGGTGCCTGTTATTGTAGACTATTTTTAAATTAAGACTTATTGGAGTAATTTGTACAGTTTATCAAAATAAAATAAATTATTATTATATATTTGAGTGTGAATATCTTGATTAAGGAACATTGACTCATCTCGTTTACTTATTACATATACTTTCGATTTCTTCAAATTTAATAAAACCTAATCATTGCCGGTAAAGTTGCATTACATAACATGAGGTAACAATCTACCTAGTGGGTAGACATAACATGAGAACTAATATGAAATGATTCGACACAGCCTGCGATACCCTCTAAAAAAATATCAGTTCAGTATCAAAGTCAGTTACGTAATTATGTCTTCGAAAATTATTTTAAATTATTTACTGAATTTTTGATTTTGTTACTAAAACACTAACCGGAGCACATTATTTATTTTACGTTACATATATCAGTGTTATTACCTGGAATCTTCCTGCTTCTTTTCCATTGTTTCAGAAGTTTTTCTTTAGTGCTAGCTGCTAACCTATTGTTTTTCCTCTCCCTCAGAAGAATGATCTTGTTCTTCTATGCGATCTTTGTTTCCAGAGTTCTTAGGTTCTTTTTTTCTAAAAAAGATTAGGTGTACAAAAATTGTAATGACCTATTATATTTTACGCGAACACTACATGCGTGCGGTAGGCAAATGTTACCTCATATTCCGACGTTTCAAGCACCTTACAGCCCCCGCCCCCCCCCCCCTCCCGTGATCATGGGTCCTGTAGAGTATAATCATAATAATAGTATAACTATATATTTACAGAACCCAACCATGTGAGAAAACTATGTAGATACCCCAAATAATAATAAGTTCTTTATTTCCAAGAGGTTGTACATCAAGATTTTTGCTTAACATTAATTTAATAAAGCCACATTGGTACATACACCTAAAAACATAGCATCTGCAGCCGAACTAGGAGACCTGTGCATCTGTCAGCTGTCAGCGCCATATCCCCACCGTTAATCCTATACTATTAAACGAGCAATTCTTGTATATATGTATATATATATGTATATATATATATGTATGTATGTAGTATATATATATATATATATATATATATATATATATATATATATATATATATATATATATATAATCGGGATCTCGGAAACGGTTCCAACGATTTTCGTAAAATTTAGTGTCCAGGGAGTTTCGGGTTTAATAAATCGATCTAGCTAGGATTTATTTTTAGATGTCTTTTTGTCCGTGTTTTTAGGCAATGAAAAACTGCTACAATATCGTTAGAATAAGAAAGTAAATTTTGACGAAACGCTAGTTATTATAAATAGCTTAATTCGGTCACAGAATCTTAAAACCCCGGTTCGAGCCCAGACCGACCGACTTTTTTTATTTATTTTTTTTTTCATGTTCCTTTCTTTTTTGAGAAAATCTATTTTTTCGAGCCCTTTTTTAGTATTTTTTAAAAAACACGAAAATTTAAATTAAAATAATTGCACTCATGATTTTTTATTCAAATAACCAGTTCCGTTTTTTCTGTTATGTCGCTAAGATCAAAAAATATTATTTATATTTCATCAGTATGTAATTTGTATCTAAATATAATTTCCAAAACACACGAATTAAAAAAAATCGAGCGAAAAATACCGAGCAAAGCTCGGTCAACCAGGTACTTCATAAAAATATTAGGATGCAAGCAAAAGTTAAATAATTAAATACTGTTAGCGATGACAAGTGAATTTAAACATTTAATCTCAATTGTTTCTTATTTGTGATCTAAAACTAAGTGTAAAGACTGATAGCGTTAATACCAAGAAAGTGAATTAATTACTTATATTAGTTTCAATTCTTATTTTAAAATTACGTAACGAAAGTTAGTAACATAGTATTTAACGAAAATATGAATCTAATTGCTTATTTAGGTTTAATTAGAATGTTAGAAACGAAATATGAGTTTAGTTAAGTTACTTCTTAGAAATTTCTCTTATTATAATTTTAAAGAGCTGTAGTAGAGATATTAACATTTAAGTGTAAATTTAATGATTTGTTTAATTCTTTTTCTTTTATAGTAATTTAATACGATAATGTGTCAATTAATCACTTTTGTAATCTAATTTCTCATTAAAAAATAGATTTTAATTTAATAAGAAGTTAAAATATATTCTGTATAGAATCTTAAGCATAATATTATCATGATAAGCATTGTGCATTCCTGCCAGGCTCTATAATCTTATGCCCCATTTACATTCAGCCCTGTTGGGCAGGGCAGTGAGCAGGGCAGCGGGCAGGGCAGCGGGCAGGGCAGTATGTAAACAGGCTACTCGCGCTGACACTACTGCTGCCGTTACCACTGCCCTACGCTCGCTCAAATGTCGGTTTTTCGTGCGGAAGTCAAAGGACGGGCAGCGCGAGCGGCAGTGTGTGTTCACATTCAGCTCCATCGCTCACTTCGCGCCAAGCGCCTGGACGAACGGATTTGCGTGCCGTCTTGTTATTAAATAATTACGATCTACCAAAATGATTTTCGAGTGGAATAATGAAAATACAATAAAGTTTTTAGAACTGCTGGAATCAGAAAAAGCTATGGGATTTCAACGATAAAAACCACAATTCATCATCTTCTACGAATACGAATTTTCTTTTTGAGATAACATAGTACCTATGTACATAATTACCTAATTATAAATTCGTCAAATTTATTATTTTAATATAAAATTTAGTTAATGAACATTGACATTTTATTTCTAAAAACGATTAGTAACTTAATTGATTATTTATTTATTAAAATGTAAAATAAGTTAAATGGTAATATTTGCATAATAACCTGAGATTTTTAAATTATAGTGTAATTATAAAAATAATAATAGCTTAACTAATCTCATATAATTTATCTTAATCTCATTAATATTATTTATGTAACAATAATGTAATAATTCAATTAATAATTTATGAACAATTTACTGTATATGAATTCAAATAGAGTGGATCTGTATATGTATTTAATTTTACATAATATTTGAATTCAAAAAGAATGTTTGTAACTAACTTTTAAGCAATGCAATAATTTTAAAATGTAACATTGGGTTTGTGTAATTAGCTGTATTTCATATCATTTTTGCATGCTAATTATGGCAAAACATGTCAGTTCCACGTCATTGATGATCTTAAGTACCATGTTTTTAAGCAAATAAATTCTATCTATCAAATAAAATCTATCTATCTTCTTTTGAACTTGATGTCTTTTTAAATTATTAACATAATTTTGTATTGCAAGAAGACACAGCACGGACGCTGTAATTATTTCGATTTCGACATCTGCCATAGTCGAAAGCAGAAAACGATGTGAGCCATAGATACTGCTAGATGTGAGCGGTAGGGCAGAGTGTAAATACACACTTCCCGCGATCCTGCTATGGCAGTATTTAGGGAAGTATTGCCGGCAGCGCGGTAGTAGGAGCAGTGCAGGCTCTACAATCTTAGAACATAAAACTTGGAAACCTACGAAATGCTATTATGCAAAATTAAGACGCACTTAGTAAACTATTTAAAACCATATCTATTGACTACTTTTTATTTTAGTCGTATTATAAAATCGTATTTATTCCAACCTACAATAATAGGTGACACTGTTCGAAATTTCAAGCGAATAATTCGTTCATCACATACTAGATGTCGCCACTACATAGGTAGTGGCGACATCTAGTATGTCTCATCTATCAGGTAGCTTTACAAAATCTTTAAAAAAAAATAGTTCTATTTAGTAGAAAATAAGTGTAACAGAAATTAAGATATTTGCTTTTGTTTAACATTAATATAAAATCTGTAATGAAAATTTTTGAAATTTTCTTATAAATAAATACTGCTTACATATGCTTTCGTAAAACTATTCATTAAAAAAATCCAGTAACTAGATGTTTTTGATATTTTTTTGAAACTGAATCTGGCAGCACAACAACCTGCCATTATGAATAGTTTGGAATAGTTTTATTCACGTTTCCCGCTACTTGTTTCTCGATATTGGAGTTGCGAATAACTAATATTTTATTTTATTTGGTGGAGTTGCTCCTATTTTATGAAAGTGTTTTTATGTTATTTTTTTTTGTTTTATTTTATCTATTATATCATTTACGTTGAATTGAGCTACCTATTATTCTTACAACTTCATTTCCAACGATTTGTTTTTTTGTGATATCTTGTCTCCATTGTTACATAGAATAAATAATTTAAATAATTATGTCAGATAAGCGTTGCTGTGTCCCCGGATGTAAGGACAGTAAGGGTAAGTCATCTCGTCTCCAAACAACTTGCATCAAGGGCATTATTTGTCTTAGGCTTTAACACATAAGTATGACTTTTTTTAAATGTATCTTGTAAATATTTTAGGCAAGCTAGTTCTTCACAGATTTCCAAACCCAGAAAAGGAAAGTGAACGATTTAGGGTATGGATTTATGCAATTGGCGGTGATATACTAGGCCTCGAAAATATGCACATATTCAAGTATCGCCGTGTGTATCACTCACATTTTGAAGAAAAATTTCAATGCAGAAATAACAGAATTAGTAACATTGCTGTGCCAACTTTGAATATGCCAGGTTTGTCTTTATAGATTACAGAAAAAGTAAATATGTTATAGAATTAATTCAGGACAGTATATTATCAATGACATGTATAGTTTTATTGTAAAATATGTCTAATTGAGTAGGTACCTACATAGCATTAATTTTTACAATGATTCATTCATTAAATAAATAGAATAAAATGAAATATTACTTATATGCACTATAGAGCTTAAAAGGATAATACATGTAACGATTCCGGCTGACAGAAGGATGAGGATATGATAATTAAGCCTAGTTTTCATAAATATTAAGTTGGCAATGTGTTATCACCCCACTTTTTCTACTTTTTTCATTAAATAATGTTATATATTATTATTATATTGTGAAATTATACTTTTTGCAAGTCATCACAGATACTGGGCCTGTTTTTTATTGCCATATATATAAATAATTTCAAATTTTAAGAAAATCCTATTATTTTCTTTTAGCTACATTATCAAATAAACCAGCAGTTATGAAAAGAAAACCCATGAAAGAAATTTTGAAGCTAGCAGAACCGTCAACATCAACAGGTACTGATATATATGATCATATATGTATTATCATGATTACAGCACATCACAAGTCCACAGCTGAACATAGTATGTGACCTTTTCAAGGGGACTTAATATACATATGAAAAAATGTTAATTTATTTAACTAAAAAAAAAGAAAGAAGTTTCCAGTAGAAAGGGTTGAGATGATACAGAAGTTCCTAAATTTGGATTGACTTAACTAAGAGTCTAAAATATATACTATATATTGTTATATGATAACTAAAAATCCATAAAATTAAATACAATAAAATCTCTACAAATATAATGGAATAATCTAACATAAAATTTATAAAACTTATGTACATGTTAAATAACTTTAATAAAATTTTAATA